GATTATCCTGTCTTGTGCCCTCACCAGCTAATTTCTTTGTTGCTTGTCTTTACCTTGTTATTATCTGGACAGTCTTCTGCAGTTAAAAAAGCAGAGGACAGGCAATTGTTCACAATGAGTTCAAAGATGGCTGTGAAGAAGTGTGATGGACCCTCTATTCAGGGCACTATGCCTCTTCAGCAACCACAACGACATTAATCAATGCCATTTTGAAATTTAAGTATACTGTATATACACTCTAAATTTGCTGAATTTTATATTAAAAAAGTAAAGAATAATATGTGGAATCAGTTTTAATCCTATTCATATTTTGGCTCCAAAATGTCTGAAGGACATCAAATCCAAACACCTAGTTTTATACTTGCTGACACCTGACTTGATGCTTCATAGGGAAAAAAATGTAGAATGCCTAGATACTACTTGTGTCTGTTTCTCTTTTTGTCAGTAAAATGGTTTCACATGTGTTGAGGCACAGAACTGTTAGTCAAGAACTAGAAAGTACAAGCAAGAGAAGCTATAGTTTTAATCTCTAGAAACCTTTACCTCAGCTGAGCATTAACAAGTAGTCTAATAAAGCCAATTCCCTGGCCTATTTCTGCAAGCAGAAAATCTCATTGACACAGCAGCCAAGTTTCCATGATTTTCTTAAAGGTTGGATTCTTCTCTTTTTTTTTGACAGTTCTTTCTTTAAAACCCCTTCCGAGTCACTGTCAGTTCCTTAATAAGCTCAACAAAAGGCTGATAAATGTCTAAAAAATTATAGGTTAAATCACCCTGTCTTAAGCTTTTCAGTTCTTAGGATACATACCGGTTAGGGCTTTTCAAAGCAATACAGTACCTCCCTTATTTAACAAGTGTATTATTTAGAATACACTTTAGCAACCTGTATTTTCTACCTCTTTACCGGCTGATATTACATAAAAAAGGAAAATATTTTTTTTTAAATAAAAAGTATTTTGGGGGAAAATAACCACAATTGTGTGAAGAGAATTATGTCAAACAGAATAGAGAAATTCAGATTTGAATACCTGACTGGTTTTCCTGAACAATTTTATATACGTAGCTGTTTTTCTTTTTGGCAAACAAGGAATGAGTGCAATCTAAAAGGTAGTGCAAAGTAGTCCAAATAAAAAAATGTGTTGAACTTGGTTTGATAACATCACTGGATGTTTGCTATGGTGTGTGTGGGCACGTAGCTACTTGGGTTTCATCATCCACTTTGGCCAATGCCCTCCAGATAACCCTGACACAAGCACTGTCCTCTGCCTGTCTCAAGTCTTTTTTTTTCCAAGCTTCTTAAAAAAATGAGTGTGTATACTGTATGGGGGAAAACCTTTCTGTACTGGAGTTCTATTTTACTGTACATGAATTTTAATGTACATGTATTTGGAACTCAATACAAAGCAATCAATGGGCATATACAAATGGGATGTTGTCTGGACAAAACCAAAAGACCATATTGGAGGACTGGAAATGGGATAAAACCTGCAGATTCAGTCTGCATAGCTGGCATGTGGGATAACTAAAGTTCATACAACAATGCACAGCTGCTGCCCAGGTTGCAGTCTGTCATTTTGAGAAGTTAGATGATGCAAGATTATATTTTTTGGGTAACATCTCTCAGCTCAATGCCAATAAGGCAAACCCACATCCTGGCCCCGTGATTTACTATCAGTAAATCAACAGTGACCTTGAATGGCAAATTAGCTAATCAACAGAATTTGCAACTGTCACAATTACAGTGCAGATTATCACTGCCAATCCTCTTTTAGTTTGGCCTGTTTTTTTTGGAGGGTGGGGTAAGAAAACTCTTCAGTCATTTTAATGTTAATCAAGCATATACTGTATCATTTCAAACAACAAAGAAGGATCAAAATTTGCTGGAAAAAAAAGGAGAACTGGAAACCATCATGGATTCATGGTGAAGGGCAGGGTGTAATGTGGAGGTGGCATATGTTACTGTACAATTCTAACCTTTCTCACACCAGTCCCCTCTCCTGTATTCAAAGAGTATCCGCTTGAATTAACCACCGATTAAAAATTGTTTCATTTTACAAAAATCTCCTATACAGGTCCATGACCCAAAGGTCTTTACTGTAGTCTCTTTTATTTCACAAGCTCAGTCTTGCAGTTCATGTTGTGCTGTGCATAAAATGAATCAATTTAAGAAACTAAAAGGTCTACGTGACACAAAACTGCCAATTAATGTTGATTTTGTCCCTTGTTTTTTTGTGGGTTTGTAACTACTCCTACCTATCATAAATTTCAAGAAATATGTGCAATTCATTTTAGAATATTTTAGCAACCCACACAGGATTTCTGTCCTTCTTCCTCTGCAACATTTCTCAAAAGTATCACATTCTCCAAAGAGAGGATGTTGATGATGCTTATAGTAGCAGAAATATGGTCCCTCCCTTAAAACTCTATGAATCAGCATATCTCCACATACCCATATTTGGATAGAGCCTGACATGTTTATAAATATTGAGCGGAAACCTGTAAACTTGTCAACTTCATTCCATAACCAAAGGTGCATTTATTTTGTGGTGTGCAAGCTCCACTTGTGGTCTATGTTGACATATTTCCTTTCACATTCCTGTAAGCTGCTTCTATGTAATTCAGACATTACGCATCACAACACTATGAGTTGCACTGCAGCCCTGCACCCTCTATGCAGCACTGCACTGCATAGAGCTAAAGGCTGTGCTACAGAAAGAGCAAAAAAAGCACCTAATTTATAAAACTCAGGGAAAAAAGACTGATGTACAGTAAAAGGCCCCTACAGAAAAAAACCCCAAACACAGGATATTGAATAACTCTGGCAAAATCACTGTTTTGTTTCTAAGACACAGGTTTTAATTAAAGCTCAGCTTTAAAACTGGTTCATTTTAAGCAGTGAAACTTAGTAGTTAACAAATGTGCCCAGTTATTCATGAATTGGCAATTAAAAAGACATTAAAATCCTGAAATGTGCAAAGAAGGGATGTAAATACTTCGATAAATAAAACAAAGCATATGTAAAAAAAAACAGAAAATACTTATACATTTTAGGCATGTATAATTTAATTTATATTCTCAAAGTGGATTTGCTTTCTCTAAAGTCAGGTCAGTCTAATGACCTCCTACGTTTCAATTTCACTCTCATTGTCAAAAGAGAAACCAACAGTACACACCAAGATTCAATATGATAAGTTTGAAATGTTCAAATGATCCTAACTCGAATAGCCAAACCACACTTATACAGTATAAACTTACACTTATGTTTGTATTATGTGTTTTTCTTTAATCTTGGTCTTTAAATTGTAAGAAATTGGTATTTAATCAGATTTGAGATTCTCCAGCTGCAACACCTGGTCATTTTATGTCCGAGATGAGCGCACTTCAAATCTCTCTACTGAGCAGAGTACATCAAGCCAAAGCACCAGTAGTAATTTCTGCAGTGAAGCAACTAAATGGAACAGGACAGGTGACTGTGGGGCTGGGGACCTGCCCATTCTAGACACACTCTCTAGTTTTGTTTCATCATTTGCAGAGGGCCCAACCCTTCGAGTTCCAAAACTCAAACCCCAGCAACCAGAGATGATAAAACAAATAAAAAGGGACCCCCACCTACAGTCTTAAAAAGCTTCAGGTAAGGAGAGCCCCCTTTCAACAAGAACTGGTAAAACTGCTGGAATTAAATGTCATGGAATTAAATGAGATGCATGTCTTGCTCACTGCAGGTGACCAGGCCTCTTCCTTGCAGTTCTAGAAAGTAACAGGAGCATTAAACACAAGAGAGAGGAGGCCACCTGGCCCATCTTACTCACGTAGTACAGTTCTGTACAAGATGTGACATTAAAATCATTATGCACATACTTTACATTCTATTCTAGCAAGTACAGTCTGTCTGTATCATCTCTCAACACGCCCTATGCATGCCCCAGCAGGATTCTGTTTTGACATGAATGTGTCCTGTAAAAAAATTACTGATCCCAGGGCTTACCTGGCACACCTCACATTCCCAGACAAAGTGCCTCATGGGAGTCACCTGTTAATTCACGATTCTGTTAAGTTACTTGGCCAGAGTTCAATCTACGATACCCACCAGGGACCATTTATAAGAATGTCACAGGGCTGAGACTGCCATTATTTTTTTTATATATCCATTTTTAAATATGCAACTAATGCAATCAGTGCATTCGTCCACAATTCAAGATGGATGTTCATTTAAAAAACAATTCAAATCAGAACCTACAAACAGTACAGTTCTGACATTATTTTTATTAGAATACTTCAGATTGATCACTCTCAGTCTGCAATTAAAAATCTCACCATCAGAGAGCAAAAATAATTCCTTTCAGATTATTGGCAATTTCTCAACACCAAATGGTCTTAACCAGAGAAAGACAAATGATCAGTGAAAAACAACTATTCATAAATACTGGATTTTCATGGTTTTCTACTAATTATTTAGCAGGCACATACATGCAAATTTTATTTACAGAGACGTAGTGGGGAACTGTGGTTCATTTACCTGCTACTGTGGCAAAGACAATTATAACAAGAAACTTTAGAATTAGGTGAAGAGTACAGAGGCTCAGCACCTTGCTCGGGGGGGTGGGGTGGGGGGGGGCAAACATAGTCTTTTTATCAATCTACAATGAACTACCTTCTAACAAGTCCTTTACCTTAACCACTGATAACCTTAGAATATCCTATTACATTACAAGCACACATTAATAGACTTTAAGTGCAGTACAGACAGTACAAACACAACATAAAAAAACCTTAAGGCTCGTCGTTGCCGATTCCCTTTGATCCAAAATGTTTGTCAACATTATTTCACAACGTATTCAAATATGTACAATTACTATTGCCAAGTTCTGGTTTTAGTCCATAATATTTCTTAGCAACAGTCAAAATCCTGAGCTGGTACAGTACATGCAAACCTTTTCAAAGTCAGCCAACACGCACTTTGATTGTTGCTCCAGGGGCTAAAGTGACAAAAACTGACAAGAGAAAGGTAAACAATTTTAATTACTGTAGAAAGTTCTCCAGGGGGAATGGGAAAATTCAGCATGCAATATGACAGTTACAGAAACAGTAACCACACAATTAAACAAGAAATGAGCATGAGGATGTCTTTATGCCAGTGAAACATAAAGCAGTTGCTCTTTGGCAGCAGTACAGAGTTATATAAGATCTGGCACTGCATTGGGTTATCACAGGCCAGGGCACCTCCTCTCCTTGTCATGGTACCATATGGTAAGGACGACGACGACGACGTGTGACTACTACAGATTCTGATCCTGAAACACTGTGATCATGCAGCTCGAACAGCCAAGACTGCAAAGGGCTTAATTAAAGCAATGCTATTTTTAGGTTAACACTGATTTCAGTCTTCTTTACAAATGTTGGATAGAAAGCTAGAAATATACATATCAATGAACACCACTGTAGATATTAGCATTGGCATCATGTAACAATGGAATTTGGAAATTTAGTGCAATAAGCACTGTTCTTCAGAGTGTTGTGATATGTTAATAATACCTCTTCTAAGTATATAAAAAGCTCTTTCTACCAAGCTATTAGTAATTAAGGTGTTCTTGGGAATTAACTAATTGAAAATACTGGGACTGATGCTTAACTGCCATAACTGTTAAAGGTACTGTTCAAAGTGTACCTTTGTGTACACTTTGAACAGTGTACACAAAGGTACACTTTGTGTGTTCAAAGTGTAAGAAGATGTGGAAAATCGTTTTACACAAATATCCATTTGACTGCAGCTCAACCCCGCATGGAATGTAACACACTGCATTCATTAATCCAGACAGGAGAACTAAAAACTTTTAAAGTCTTTTAAATCTTCTTTCCATTGATATGAAGTGTTGTCCCTTTGTCTCTTCAGATCATTTTGAAAGTAAATACAGAAAAGAATGAAAAAAAGAAAAAAAATCTTCTACAACCACTCCTTACGTTTTAGATCCTGTCATTACAGACGTGTGTAAACTAATGCCATTTAACAGACCAACTCAGACCGCCTTCTTTCTTTTTAAAATTCTGTAGAATTTGTCCACTTCGTTCTCATCTTTTTTAACCAGGCTTGAGTAACCAAGCTGGAAAAAGCGAAGACTCAGCCAAGGGACGATGGACGCTCTGCTGCTGTAAGAGACACAAAGGGGAAAAAAGAGTGAGGAAGAGTTATGGGAGGAGACAAAAGACAGCAAAACAAAAATAAGCATAGTGAAATGACAATACACATCATTTAGGCAATTCTTATGCAGAAATATACAACAATCCTGCACTAAGATATTCCACTAAAAAGGTGGATTACTGCATTTATTTAACAGGGGTAAATCTAGCAAACTATATAATTGGACTCCATCTTCAGAAACAACATTATTCACTAATTCAATTACAGTAGTTCAGTACTGCTTATTAATGTGTATTTATCAAAGACAAAAAAGTCTACTGAACAGTGACACAGCCAAGAAAGCAGTAGCAAACGACCCATGTGAATTAACTCATTTCAGATAGTATGGTGTCTAATCATGTCTGAAACTGTCAGTGTTACCTGATATAAACTGCAAGAAAAGCCAAATCACAATGCCAAGATAGGAGCCTTACACAAACCCAAGAACTGCTGACCCCAGCCTCCCTATCAGTTTGGCCACTGTCAGCATGGGCCTGCCCCAGTGAAGGACACATACTGTCACTGGCACCCACAGCAGGGACCACGTGGTGCAGAACAGATAACCTGCAGACTGAATTTTGCAATGGAATGTTGATTCACTGCAAGAGATATCACCTTTCTATAAAACAAATTCAACAGATAAAATGGATAGATTACACTGTTTGCCTAGTCCTTTGGACTTGTTAACGGGAGAATCTGTAGTTCAATACAAATCAGAGAGGCTAAAATCTTAAGACTGGGGTGGGCAAAAGATGAAAAAAGAAGCACCTCACACCTGAAAAGGATGCCAGTTAGCTGACTGATTTTAACATTTATCTTTGTAGCTCCATACAGAGTGACAGAAATCTTTACTGAGACCAAGTGCTGAAATGTAGTCCCACAGGCAGAGTCAACACTAAAACATTCTCGAAAGCTTGCCTGATGATAGTGTACACAAACCCATCACCCATATGCAATAACTTCCCAGGTCTTGTCATCACCTGCTCATAACCAAGTCATACCGTTGTTTTCTTCACAGTTTTAATTATATACAGCAGGTGGCTGGAATAGACTTTCACTGTCACTATTAATACAATCATACCTAGCGCAGGAGAGCACAGACCAGCTGAAATGAATAGTGTGAATACCTGCACTCCTAGATGAGCTGCACTGCCCCATTGGACACCAGGGGCGCTATAGTGCGGTAACGCATCAGGTGCTGTGAGCCCACCTCCAGGTCAACGGCATATTCACTGTAGTGAAAGAGTGAAGTACAAGGAGTGAGAGAAGTACCTCTCTGGTAGAACAGGCTTCTTCACAAATTCATTTTGTAGTAAAATAGGCTCAACTCCTACCACAGATTCCTCTGTGAAACAAATACAAGCACAAAATTGCTGTTTTATAATTACATTTAAAAAGTATATGTCACAACAACTGATGTAAAACTGCAATAGCACTTATTTAATCATGCGGCCTGAACTAAGTGAATTCTCAAGATCTGAAAGTGTCAGCTGGCTGGCTTTCTCACAGATATGCTACATATCAGTTTCTGACAAATCAAAGGCTTGAAGACTAGTTGTTATACTGGGTCAATTTTTAAAATGAAATGCTCTTTGCACTAACATTTTTTTTTCTTGTGTCCAGCTCATGCTTTAAGTTACATTTAAATTCTCTGGAAATCAAATATTTATATTATAAAATAGAATGCTCAACTCCTTACATACTATAAGTGATGTCTAAGGTACATACTGTCCAATAATAGTGTACATATAACTAAGGTTCATGCAGTAACAACTGTTTTCTGACATACTGGTCCAGACAGAATCACATGCGTTCTTATGGATGCTTATATATATATATGCTTATATATGTCCTTTGACATACTGCATATGATATTAAATATGTTTCTGTTGCTGTAAGGTGTCAAACATCTGTGTAAAGTATTTAAACTCTATATACACACATCACAAATATTCCAAGTAAATTACTTTTTGAATAATTATGAAATGTTAATATGATAAAATGTTAATCTACTCAATGCACAATATAATTTAAATGCTGCGTTCCTATAATGGTTACCATAATTATTAACAAGAATAATCAACACTATATGCATTAGAAATTTAAGATTTTAAATCTATGAATGTTATACTGATAATCTCTGTGTTGTTCTGAGTTACAGTGTGGAGAAACAGAAGACACACAGAGAATTCCTGGCTTTCTACACTGCTAGGTATGGTTTTTAATAAATGTTTAATTCCAAATCAATGTGCTCCTTAAGTTAAAGGGGCAAGAAAGATGTTTTTTTCAACAGACATGTCAGACAATAGCACATATTCAAACACCAGTGAATTAAGTTATGTTCATATATTAACATTTAGCCCATTAGAAATTTACTGATCCAAGGATGTCATCCAACTATTTGTTGAAATTAAATATGAGAAAAGTGAAATCCAATATAAACTACAGTATACATAATACATTCCGTACCATCAAATCAATTCTTGAAAAAATCACTTATATAAAGCTACTGTATAGTTTCCAATCAGAAAACAACAGAGAAACGATGTTTCCAAAGTCTGTATTGCCACAATACCAACCCACAAAATAAGTAACATATAAAATAAAATGTAGTTTCCAATGTACACATACAACACCTACAGTATTTAGACATGGCTCAAATGTGAGAATCCAACAAGGCTGAGGAACAAAAAGGATCGCCTATGTCAGACTGTAATAAAAAATGTCCATTTTAAAACATTATTCTCTAGGGTGATTATTAATTTGTATTTGTATATTAGGATTTCATGTTTTCAACTTGTAAACACTGAAAATATATTTTAGTCAACACAAAAAAAGTAAAATAAATTACTAGGTCTAGTGTCTTCACTTTTTAAAATAAACAAAGTACAGTAAATGTTTAAAAATGTATTTATAAAATCAGTGTTATTTTATTTTCATTCCAAAACCCACACAGAGACAATTTATATTATGCATGCATATAAAACAGTAGTTTCTGTATCTTTCAAACATTCATGTCACAACAGAATTATGTTTGAAGCACTTCAAAATTAAGGTACCATAATTCTGCTGATTTGATATCAACTTAAGGAAATTGGCTTGCAAAGATTGGGGATTTTAGTTTTGGTTAATTCTTTCTTGGATTATGTAACAAGGCAGGAAAGATGTGCAAATTCTTAACTAATGACCTGATGTTGCCTCATATGGATAAACAGTAATCAGGTAATTTGTTTAAAGTAAATAAAAAGTTTTGCCTATTATTTACTTTATCTGATTTAGACATCTGTTTTAAACTGATAGTTAAACTGATAGAGCACGAACAGAAAAGGTGCTGGACTTTAAATGCTAAGGAATAGGAAATGAGAACTACTGTACTTGACTTCCACAAAATTAATATGAATATTGATATAGAATTATAGTTGTTTTCTAGTTACAAATAAAAGGTATTTATACACCATTATATCTGAAATTGAAAAGGTCACAAATTAAAATTAGAAGCGATCACAACAGGAATTATTGATGTTGTTTGTTACTGTTAATAATACCATCACTTTCTTAAAGCATCCAGAAATCAGATAACTGTGTCATATAAAACTAAACAGTATATGTCAGAATTCAGAAATATAAACAAATGCTGGTCAGTTATATAGGTATGAAAATGTGCCCCAACTACTAAGGAAATGAATACACAGTGAATAAATAATAATCTGAAATATTCTGCGTTTATTTTAAACATTGGATGCACCCAGCTATTGCCTTGTCTCAAACTTCTAGTAGTACCTATTCCTCAGTGTTTGTACCTTTTCCATCACTCTGCAGTTTATATTGTCAAGGTGGACGCTGTTGCCACCTGGTGGCACTTCAGAATGTGACACCCCATCTCCCCCTTGGATCAAATAAACACTGTATCGGAACCATACAGGCGCTGCTTTCTCTTTAAAATTCACCTATTCTCCAAACACATCTTCAATTATTCATAATAAGAAGAAATTTGATATAATTGTTTTTCTCTTTTGTACATCATCACTGGAAAACACTAATAATAACTACGACGAAACAAAAGCAAAACAATTTTAATGGACTACAATTAGTATCTCTCTTGTAGGTTTAAAGAAGCTTTAAAATATAAGAAACAAGAACAAATACTATGAAATCAGTAAACTTTGAAGGTTTTTCATAGCAGCTTCTTTTAAAAAAAAATCAACAGCGTCTAAAGAGTTAAGCCTTGATAGTGAAGTCTAAACTGTGATTATCATTAATGCAAAAAATCAGAAGAAAATCTAAATTATGATTAACACATACAGTTTTTATTTCATTTTGAAGGACAAATGTATGAGGACAACGGGATGACAGGTGTCTCTTGTTAGTCAGGTGCTAGCTGCTGGATAATTAAGACTCTTGAAAATGCTGTAAACATCCCATCAGCCTGCCTCATTTTGAATTCAGTGTTTGAAGTCAGCAAAGTTAAAATGAAAACGAAATAACCTGCTGTTAAAAATGCAGCAAAAGGAAATCACCAACTGCCTCTAGAGAACAGGGTTCACTAGGTATCAAAATCCACAGCCTGCAAAAGAAACGGCTGCAGTGTTTACCTGCACTAAATAAATACAAAGACAAACAAGGAGAGGAGAGAGATAACGAGACATCCATAATCAAAATGATGGCAAATGAATAAAAGAGCAGATGTTCCACAGACCACCACCTCATCTCTGAACACATTTGAATTCTGTTTTTCAGAGCTTTGGAGGACATACAGGAGACATTGCATCCTGGTGTTTTTTTGGCAGGAAAATTTAACAGTATCTGAGAATAGAAAAAAAATGAGATCACAATCATTTGTTCTAATTTACATAAGAAGAAAAAACAAATGGTTATGTGAGCTGCTCTTTTCATTAGTTTTTCTAGATTTTGGAACAATTCTACAGTTCATTTGATCCTTCAGTCTTTACCTCTGGTCATCTGTCTCTGGTTCCACCAAGATATTCTCCTGCTGTACTTTCACTCGCAGGAACACAAATGAGTCCAAGCTGGGCTCCGGAACTGATGTGCGGCAGACAAAACATAAGATAAGTTAATACTTGGAACTGGAGTGTCAGTAAAAAAGAAGGATGACCTTCAGGGCCCTCAACTTCAATGGCAAACTGAAAATGTTAAGAAAACTGTTTATAAATTCCAGCCCATCTTGCTCATTTGATCTCTATTATCTAATCAAGGGTTGAATCTCATCCAGGAACCCAAAATGCAAACTCCATTCTTTATTATACAGTACCCTCAAGTACACCTGAACCTATCTGGCAAAAGTACCGTATGTTTTAAAATAAAAAAAAATCTGTTTTCTCTTGTTCTCTTTTAAACATTTTATGTTCACTGCAGCACCAGTTATGCACAAAGGAAAAGTCATACTAATGTGGAAAATACAGCTCTCAAAGTACACAAGAAAATGATAACGGTCTGACAAAGATACACTTTCTGCTCCATTTCTTGCAATGAAATTGAATTTCTGTGGTATGCTGTTTATATTGAACACATAGCTGTGTTGTGCTGGAAATAATATTTCAATCCCCTTACCACATTTGGCAAAATCCACTGTCTGCAGGTTAGGGGGCATGTGTCTTAGAGCCACATTCTTCAGGTAAGTCTCTGTGTTGGCCATGTATCTGAACCAGAGAACACATGTGTGTCAGTATATGCATACAGATCAAGTATTCTGCCTGGGAAACATGACAAAACTACAGTAGGTTACATATAATGGAATTACCCTGTTTTTCTACAACACTTTTACAGAACTAGTAGAAACCCACATCGTACAAGATTAAGATACACCAGATGCTGCTTCATCTGCCATTTATCTTTTCAAATGTCACAGGAAACATAACTCCATACCAGAGGTCAAGTGCCAGTCGGAGGAGAGGCTCGTCATTCACCACAAGTGCACAGTGGACAGCAGGGGTGCTAACTCATGCCCTCTTACTTACCCTCAGTAATACTCAGCCAATTCAAAACCTCATTTTAATGTTACAGAAATCTGTATATAATTACATACATGTACAGTATACACTGAAGGAAAACTAATGTGTAACTATGCTGTCTGGGCTTGTTCTTTAACATTTTAGAGGTTAACATTCTCTCCCTTATTATTCAAATATGTATGCACTAACTGGATTTTCCATTACAAAACAGCTGAGAGATGCTCTATTATAAGTATTAAAGTATTACCAAGTATTTATTTAAAACAATATTGCTTAATCTGTGACATTTTGCATACATTTATACAGTTCTGATGGCTAGACAAGCAGTTACGTAGACAAACTTATCAACTAGAGGAGATACTGTTGTGGCCTTCAATTAGGACTCACTCTTTAGCAAAGGCAAATTCCTCTGGGGATAAATAGGATGGGTCACCATCTGCCCGAGACTTCTCCTTCTTCAAGACATGTGGAAAATACTTCTCAATCTGGAACAGCAACAGGAAACCAAGACTCAGCTGTGTGACGAGTTTGCCTCAAGTAACAAACCACAGCTCACTTTATCATCTTTATCACAAATAAGATGTTGTTATAGTGGGAATACAAACAAATGAGATCAATCTGAGAATAAAATTGTATTCTCATAGACTTCTAGACCTGACAAAGATTCCACTACAGAATTCTGAACCTCCAAATGCCGGTTTATTTACCATACCACTCAACTTATAATTGGTTTACTTTACACCGGACATATTTCTTGTTTGGCTGTTAGAAGATCAGTTTCAACTATGTGGCTGCACAGGTTGTCCCCAAAATCTGTGACTCTTTGCTGAAAAAAGTTACTCTAATTTTAATTACTTAAAGCAACTTCTATTCGTTTTTTAACATAGATTCAGTGGAGCAGACCCTGGCTATTTGCTGGTTTCTCCTTCGATGATTCTCTTAATCGCAGTGTTTTGAGTCCACACCAATGCAGTGGTCAGAGTGGTTTGCATAACGTGGAATGATGTAATTAATATTTAGCACCAATATACAGTGCAGTCCTTAAGTATTTGGGAAGTGACACAATTTTTTTGGCTCTGTACTCCAGCACATTGGATTTGAAATGAAACAATGACTATGAGGTTAAAGTGCAGAATGTCAGCTTTAATTCGAGGGTATTTACGTCTATATTGGGTGAACCATATAGGTATCACAGACCTTTTTATACATAGTCCCCCCATTTTAGAGGACCAAAAGTAATTGGACACATTAACGTAATCTTAATAAAACTGTCATATTTAGTACTTGGTTGCAAATCCTTTGCAATTGATGACTGCCTGAAGTCTGCGACCCATAGACATCACCAAACGCTGAGTATCTTCCCTGGTGATGCTCTGCCAGGCCTGTAATGCAACCATTTTCCACTTTTTACACTTAAAGACTGTACTGTACACATGCTAAATTTCTGCACATATGCACTCAGATTTTTCAGCACTGTTCTGAAATTGGATCATTCTTATAGTATTGTATATTTATTTTTTGTGTTTTTATTTACAACATGGTATGCATCAATGCCATCTAAACAAACTGCAATTACTAGTGAGCCTGGTTAATAAGAGGCAAAGAAAAGTAATGTCTCTTACAGACATGGAATTATTAGATAGGTCACCAAGAGGGGAGTTTTGCTTTTGTTATATGCCAGTAAAGAACCAACATACAGTACCAACAATAAGGGACATTAAAAGAGAGAAGACATAAAAAGTGCAAGAATTTCTGCAACACAAACCATCAACACATTAACAGTATATAATTTTAGATTTTTTGCTTTATTATCTTGTTCTCTATTACTTGATCTTAAATTTTGAATAAATGGAATAATTACTGTATATATAAATGACAAAGAGGGGTGGCCAATTAGCACTAACTTTGCATTTCTTGGATTTCCTTTAAACAGGAATTTTCAAGAACATAATCCCCATGAACAGCAAGGGGTTTAGTGTTTAAGTTACTCCTCTAACTTACTGTACTTAAAATAATGCTTAATTTTTTGTTACTGTCACCTTTGAAATTTAGGCATATCTCACTAAAGATGAAGTGGTGATAAAGTAAAAATTTGAGGCAGCGATAAATAATTACATATAAAACCATTTTAATAAGTTTTATATTCAGGATGGTATTAATTTGATCTTGCATGAGCAATTTGTAAGGCCACGTTCGGTAAGTAAGCCATGTGAACAGATCTAGCACATTCTACTGTACATGTGTAATCAAAGCACTTTCAAATAAAAAGAAAGGAAGTGAAAAGACAGGTAGGAGTAGGTCATTATCTTCGGTTTGGATTTTTTGTTAAATTCCAGACATATGTAAAGACCAGACATTTCCTATAGTCTGTGACACCGCAGATATTCGTGCAAACCAGACAGACAAGTCAAAAAGCTGTGTTCTCACAAAGGAAGATATGTGAAGATGTCCTACATTGAGTTTGAATGCTAAAGAAAAAAAAACTAAAGAAAGAAACAAGAAGAAAAGCAAGAGAGAATGAAAACAACATTTTTTCGATAATACTCTAAGAACAGCAACACATCTAACTAAGTTCAGTGTCAAACCTGCTCTCCATATTCTGCAAATCACTGGAACGGTAAAAGTCTAGTATCTTCTCTTGCTACTTTTGCAGAAAGTTTTTTTTTAACACCAAACTTTTCAGAAAATAAGATGGACATACAATGGAGCTCTGGAAAGACAACTACTACTACTAATCCTGATGAAGATCATTTGTAGTACTACAGCTTATTACATTACTGATCTACAGCAGTCACCCTGACCTTCTGAAGACGTGAGCGAAGGTAGCTGCTCAGGACGTAGCGGATCCTGTCGATTTCCATGCGGTGTATGCTGGCCTTTAGATCACCCTTCTTCACCCGCTGCAAGTTCTCCTCCTGAGCCACAGAAATGGACCGGAAACATGTAACACTGAGACTACAACACAGAGCACAGCAACATAATACACCAAACAATGAACTGCACAGCATGTACACAATACACATCATAGACCCTGAGAGGGATAATACTACATGAAAGCAGCATGCAGAACCCTCTCCTTAACATACGCTACATAACACAAGACACTGTTAACCATGACATCTTACTTTCTCACCTTGAGGCTGTGTTTGGAGTTTCTGACACTGCTCTCAAATGGTTTAAGTCTTACCTCACTGATCACCGTCACTTGTCTCTCTTGGCAGATTAAGGTCTGAAATTTGGTCTCGTTAAGTCTGGTGTTCCACAGGGTTCGATACTGGGTCCCCTACTTTTCAGCATTTACATGTTCCCACTTGGTCAGCTTTAAAGATCACATGGCCTCAACTATAATTTCAATGCTGATGATATTGAAATATACATCTATACCAAACCTGACACTGATGTGGCTGTCTCTATTCTAATTGCATCTCAGACATAAAAACTTGGATGACTCAAAATGTCCTTCATCTTAACTGTGACAAGACTGAAGTCATGCTTATTGGCATCCCCATCAACTTTATAAAGCCAATCCTGTAACCCTATCTGTGGATGGTACTGTACTTGAGCTTCAGTCTAAATTGAAAAGCCTTAGGGTGATATTTGATTAAGGCTTAACAGCATATTGTTAAAACATCTTTCTTTCACCTCAGAAACATCACTAGACTACGCCCTGTGTTTTCACTAACTGTGGTTGAAAAGCTGATCAACACATTTGTCTTCTCCCAAATTGACTCCTGTGATGCTCTACTCGCTGGAGTATCTAAATCCACATTGAAAAAACTCCAGTATGTCCAACATTTGATAGCCAGAAACCTGACCAAGCCTAGTGCAAGTGATCACATTATTCCTATCCTGGAGTCTTTGCACTCTTTGTGGACTTTAAATTTCTCATGCTCACCAATAAGGCTCTGCATGGCTTTGCACCTCAGTAACTGTCTGATCTATTATTGCCCTACTCCCATCTCACAACCTTCACTCCTCTAATTCTGGACTCCTAACTGTCCCCAAGCCTGTCTACACTCTATGGGTGACAGGGCCTTCTCTTGTTATGCCCCTAAGCTCAGGAACTCTCTCCCCACGGATGTCAGAGACTCACCTTCTCTAAACTCCTTCAACTCCAGGCTCAAAACCTTCTTTAGAAGAGCCTTTATTTAACTGGTTCCATTCTTTACCCCTCTGCCCCTATAGTATTTAGTATCACTATCTACTGTCTCCTACTGATTATTTTTAATTGTTGTTGCTGTTGTCATTCTGTAAAGCGCTTTCAGAAGCCACCTTTAAAGGCGCTATATAAAATAAAGTTTAATAATAATACTCATCACTCATTTAGGAAGAAACCAGACCTGCGTAAAGAAGATGGATCACTCTTAAACAAAGGGGTATAAATATATCAGAGAAGCATATCAGTGGAGTAACTGAGGACTATTTACACTAGGGAGGTGGGTCAGAGGGATTAAAATCAGGCCAGTTCTGGTATTTTTCTCGTACGATCAGAAAAGCCCTAAGCAACACTAACAACGAACTCCACATCTGTCTTCAACTGCATTTTTACATGCTTATACCTCAGTGCTATGGCATAAAGAACAAAGTGCAAGAACCCAAGGCCGCTGTATTGATGGGAAACTTATGACATTATAGGAATAACTGAATCATACTGAGAGGAGGATGACAGAGATGAATATAATGGATACACATAGCTTCAAGAAAACAGGCAGATTAAAAGGGTGTGGTGAGGTACTGCATACAGAAAAAACCTGCAAGCTAAAGAGCACAAACAAGAGGACACAGGTAGTTTTAGAATGTGTGAGATGTAAAACTGACATTCTGAAACAAAAAAAGAACTCTGAAAGTAAGAGTTCAGAGGTTTTCATGAAGAAAAACATCAATGACATGGACGACATTATACAGTACAATGATCTCCAGTTTCACTGGGAGACTGTAGTGGAATCCCAAGGAGTTAGAGAACAGAATGCAAAGCACACAGCCTCACCATGTGAGTGAGTTGCTCCATTACGCACTCTACAATCTCAGACTTGTTCTCCAGGAGCTCAGGGGAGAACTTCTCATTCAGCCAGGCCTGCATAAGAACAGCACACAAGAAGGTCTGAAGTTACCGTTGAGAAAACAACAGAATACTTTACTACTTCACCTTCTTATTCTCTTTATGAATTGGGCTATTTAAGTAAATTAAAGGCACCCTTTAACCATGCCACGTACCGAAACCAAAACAAGCACAAAGTTTACACTTGATCAAATATCAACACAAATATGTAATATGCAACGATGAATTTGTGATTTTCTTCTAAAGTAAAATATGGACAACAGTCTTCAGCTAGTTCTAATGGATGAGAGACAAGCTGCTGCGGCTTATGAGTATGTTCCTTTCTATAGCAGAAGCCAGTGGTAAAGGTGGTGTGAGGCAAAGCTACACATTTTCTTTACACTTCCCTGGAGAATTAATTCTTTACTACAAAGGAGATGGAACGATCACTCACTACCTCAAGCACCTATAATATAAAACTGAATGCTAACTGTGTAGAGAAAAATGAGAACAATGGATTATTTAAATTTAAACTCAATTTGTTTATATATATATATCTCAGATGGAAAGTCAAAGGTTGTTATTTATCTACAGTACGTGTAGCAGATGCTTTTATGAATAAATAAATTTTCAAGCACTTTTCAAGAGAGAGGTCACTTACTACAACAAACTGATGTAAAGGAGTGAGCACTTATAGAAAAATACTGTAGTAATGACAGCTCCTAAACAAAATTAAAACATGCACAGCAGATACATAATCAAACTAAATTTCTTCGTTAAATTATGGAATTACTGCGATAACGATCTTGAAAAAATGATTTTTTTTGTTTAGCCGAAGCTTCTACGAATATAATGATCGTTATTTCCTTTTGGCTATTGTGAAAAAAATCAAACATCAAAATTACGTTTCTGCATACACAAAACTGTCATTAGACTCGAAAATGGACTTTTGTTACTGTTTTTAAATAGCTTTTGTGTTTCGGACACTATGCTTCTACAGGTAAGACAGAGGTACTAAAATAAAAAAATATATATATACATAATGACCTCTTCCAGCTTCTCGATTAGCTCTGCTGGGGTCATCAGCTCCTGGCTGTCATCTCCGCTCCCTTCGCTGGCTTCGGACAGCACGTCGGACATCACAGACACAGTGCGATCAGACAGCGGTGAATATCAAATAGTATGTTTCAGCTCTCGGATCTCGCCCTTATGACCGACACAAGTCCGATACTAGACATCAACAATTCTGAATAAACACTTGTAAATTTAGAAGAGATTAACGTTTATAACAATAAAAAGGAAACAGCTAGAGTACTGTATTTATAAATCCATCTTTGCGAAGCCTCCGAAGAACAATAAAACCATTCAAGTTACACTTATTTAATAAACAACATGTTCCACTAATAATTAGTTTGAAAACTTCAAAATAATTCTCGATTTTTTCTGCCTTTTAAAAACAAGATGCATCTGATACTTTTGTATACGCTACTCTGCTAGTCCTAAATTTCGCGCCACCTCGACAAAACGTCACTACACTGCGACACGAAACGAAAGTTAGCCGACATTCCCGCCATCTTTGTTGTGGAAAAAAAAAAACAAATGAGACTTTGGTCTTATATTAAATTATGTTATGAATGCCAGCGAAATGTAATGAAAGTTTAAAACATAATTCGAAATTAAATATCAAAGATATTTAGATAGTGTAGCGCCCTCGCCTGGCTTTGGAGCCGAAGAGCGCCCGGTTGGGGTGCACGGCGAGGGGAAGGACGGGAGTAGTAGTGGCCAGGGCGGGTATTAGGAGAGCCACTGGCCAGTGCAGCTGACCAATTGTTGAATAGGTGTACGTAGTCGCGAGATTGCCCGGACTCGTGTAATTTCCATGGTTTTGCACCCCTTATACACATGTACCCAATCACCACTCCTGTGTAACTGTACACGAATTGACCCCAGTGTATTGTAGCCTGTTTATGTTTTTTTTCTCTCACTCTGTTGTGGCTGCTGTGTTCTCAGTTAAGAGCCTATCCCCTGTGTCTATCCTCGCCGATCCCGTCGCGTTACAATAGATAAACTTAAAATTAGGAGTTGTTTACCTGTTTTACTTTAATCTGATATGCAGTCACTTCTTTAGTACACGAGACTATAATGATTACAATTTACTAATAACATGGAAAAGGATACAAAGAAGGGGTTTGCTAGTTTAACAACTCTACCAGAATTCTAAAAGAAAAAAACATTAATTAGTGTAGCTTCCTTACATACCTAACTATTATTAGTCATGTCATTTCTGAGTTGAAGAGCAGTACACCACATAGCACCATTGTAAAACCTGGAATGCACAGTAAAAGTAAGTAACCTGGTATACAATTTAGGGGAAAAAAACATTGTGAAGGCATCAGGTTTCTGGTAGTATTTGAGGTATTGGTTAAAATTCATTTTAATTATTAACTGCAGTCCTCATATATTTTAAATGCATGCATACATCCTTTTAAAATGGGTATTAACATTGAAGTCAACGTAAACCGTTCTGTAAAACTACTGTTTTTAATTGATCCTTTTGCATGATACTTTAGGGACATAAAGAATCAAAACATACAAATGGTGATGAAGATAATGAGGAATATTACAAATGACAAATTTAAAATGAGCAAATGAATGTGGATACTGTACAGCACTCTTATACGACCTCTGAAACATTGTGTTCAATTACACCACTCACAACACACAGGTGCCACTGATATCTTGGGAAGAGTTCAAGAAGTTCGGAAGAGTAACCAGAATGTTCATTTGTCTCAATTAAAGTCTTATACAGACAAGGTTAAAGGAACTGAATGTCTTTCTGAATAAAGGAGAATTTTACAGGATTTAATTCAAGGATTCACAATCCTTGAAGGCCTTGACAAAATCAATTTAAGGGATTACCTCAAGTTGAAGTATGTAAAATGAACACCAGCTCATGAGAGGAAATTAAGAGTAGATCCGTTTAGGACTGAAACAGGCTGCAATACCAAAATTACTCAGCCAACATTTTGAAGCTGAGCATTTAAGATCATCAAGAAAGATGAGTTTCTTATGAGGATTCGGAACACACTAAACAATTTCTAAGTAGTTAGAAAAGTCAAATTGCCTACTATTGTTTGTTTCCTTTCTTATGTTTTAATGAGATTCCAGAAGCCATGGATGAATTATCCAATTTAGAGAGTTTTGTAGAGGATGAACTGGCTATGAAGTCTGCCTGAATTAAATCGTACACTGATCCTTAAGAAGTCCCTATTCATTATAAGCTCAGTTCTACTTTGGAGTAAAACAGACAATCCAAAACCATCCCCAGCTTCCAAATTCTAACATAAAATCATTGATATCCAACTTAATGGACTAAAACAGCAGGCTTCAGCTCTTCTTATACTTATCTCCTCTCCCCTCAGCAATTGAGAACTATATGATTCAGATCTTCCTTTAAAAGGATAATGCTCATCCTTCACGCCCTCATTCCATTAATGGAGGTTTCATCTAAAGGTTGAGGCAGTTGATATCCATGTAGGTAACACAGACAAGATTGATCTCTGTGAGCAGCTTAGTCCCTCTGAGCACAGGGACGGCAGGGTTGAGGTTAAGCACCTATTACTCCCACTCATTCTTTTATGGCAGTAGAATCTCAGCAATCTGCTTTCTCAGTCTAAGATGTGCCGAGGATAACTTTGCACTGGTACGTGGGTAATGTGTATTTGTACATGAAGAACTAAGTTTTTTTTTTAGAAGCTGGAATATAGAATTATTTGCAAAGCAGATATAATTAACAAGAGGATAGAAATCCCAGAAAAGGAAGCTCACCTTCTGTATTTGTCCCTCTGTATCTTGGACAGAGATCTCAAGGGGAAGTCTGTTACTTTGCCTTAAAAAGTACAAAGCTTCTTAAATATACAATTATGCATTCCTAAGCATAATACCCCAGTCATATTTTATTCTGAATATTGTGTAGAAATGTGGCCACCATTTTGTAAAAAAGGCACTGCTGCTCTAGAAACAGTCAAGAGAAAAGCCAGAAGACACAGAGAGATAAATCTGATTGGAGTGCCACCCTGTGTCTTCTGGTGTTTCGTCCAATGAGGCTTTTAATCACTAATTATTGCCCGTTATTCATCTGCTTACTAGTTTGGCCTTTTTTCTAAACTCAGTCCTTGGTATGAATAAAAATAAAGTATATTTGTAACATAACAGAAACCTTTTTCTGTCTGCCTCTCAGTTGAAGTGAATCCACAGCACAGGGGAAAAGATTTGTTTTGGAGATGATGAGTAAGAATGTGTCTATTTACTTAACATACAATATTATTGTATTTAGTTCTTCTTGATGCAATTGGCAAACAGTTTTTCCTTTCATGCTTCTAATGGTAACTAATGATTCCACTAGTGCTCCAGGTCTAAGTGATGAGAGATCTTTCATGCCCTCTTTAACCAGGTGACATCCAGCTCATGACTCGGCTTGGGTTCTGCTTCATCCTGGAAAAAATAGGAGGGTTTAGATATGGGCGGGTTACCCATCCCTGTAAAAAATGACAAATTTAAGAAACAGAAAACTCAATATTACCAATATACAAAACCAAACACTATTTATAGCTGCTTCAACATTTAGAAACTCTATGCACTGCACAGGTTTAATTAAGTCACAGTTAATATATGATAAAACCATTAGAGTCAAATTACCAAAACAGTAACCATGTAATAAATCACATAGTGAAAAAAAATCAACAAAACAGATTTTGGTTCTTCAGAAGACATCAAGAATATAGTTTTAAAAGTGAAATACAGAATTTAGGAGAGTAAACCCAAGAATACTAAAATTAATTTCTAAAAAAAGCAAGTGAACTCCAAGAAATACCTAGGATTTTTGCATGAAGAATGATTCTTCATTCACTTCTGATTGAAGAATGTTTATAATATTGACAATACATGATTACACTGGCCCTAACAGTACTTTATTCCTGTGGCATTTGGTCAGCAAGCAATTGGACAAATTCATCTTTATTTTAGTTTTTCGCCCACATGAAAAATTAGCTCCATTATAGTACATATAATATTCTAAAACATGAAATGTCATAAATGGCTGTTATCCATAATATCTATACAGTTTTTACAAGTCATTGAATCAGGTGACTTGTTTCTAGAAAAAAAATGCCTCTTAGAAATAATGACACAACCAAGATCACTAGTTCTAAGGGTATTGATCTTGTCTACTGTAGATTATCAGTATTGGATGCCTGTTCATATGTACACACAATTGTTACTTGTGGTTACTGTAGACTTTTACACTACCAAAGGTATCGAGCTCTTGGTGGACTAGCACTTTCATAAAACGAGTCTAGCATCAAATACCTTTAAAAATCTCTGTATTTGAAGAGGTTTCTGCCCTAGGCTGTGAGGAGACAATCTCAGAGCCTCTAATTGCAAAGCTCTTACTCCATCTAAGAGCATTATGAGGTAATAGGCTTAGAAGGACACATTTACTCAATCAGCCACAGACACTGCAGAGAAGTACACATCAAAGATTTTCCCTTCTTGGCCCTTTTACCATACTACTACAGTATGTACTACTACATGTTTCACTATTAATCAACTTACTATTACAATATCCCCAAAACTATGGTACATTCTATGTTTATTATTAATTTAAGCTTATTATTTATCTTATTTACTTGACATGTAATTGGATGTGTGTATTTTACAACTATGAAAAAAGTATTCTTATTTCCTGAAATGATTGAGATGCTACACTTATATATCACCCTTCCATATAGGTGGAAATTAAGGAAGAAATTGTATTTGTAAAGCATCAAGCTTTAGCTTACAGCTTACAACTAATTACAAATAGGAATAGACTGATCCATTTCCTAACTGCTTTGAGCAATACAGAGTCACATGGGCAAGGCAAGATACATCCTAAATGGGATGCCAGTCCATCACAGGCCATACACAGACACAAATATACACACAATTACACCAGGGCCAGTATGTCTTTGGACTTTTTGAGGAAATCCACACAAACAAGGGGAGAACATAATCACACAGCTAGCACCCAGGTCCACAATTCAACTCAAGGCCCCAGGGCTGCAAGGCTACCACTGCGCCACACTTAGATTTGATTTATTCTTTCTGTTTCATCTTTACAATTTTGAGTTGAATTTGCAGCTTCCAAAGACTGAAAAGGATCTAAGTGCTGCACAATGGGAATCTTAAGTAAAATGTATATGTCATTGCAGCATGTTACTTTTCAAAATTGTGGCATTACTAACAGCAGCTTGGCAATGGTGTCAGCACACAACAGTGATTCACTGTTAAGGTGGAAAGGTTCAATTCTTAGAAGGTGCCTTGTGCACCTTCTAAGTAGAGTTTGTTTGGGTTTTCTCCAGATGTTTTGGTTTTCTCCTACCCTCCTAAGAAATACCAAATGAATTGTCATCTGTTATTTTTCCCAATTGTGTGTATGTTTTCACATACTTGTGTGTGAATCTTGAAATGAACTGGAATCTTGTTCAGAGTGTATCCTACCCATTTTCTGCTGGATGAGACCCCCAGCTCACAGCAACCCTGTGAGCTGCAAAGCAGAAACTGTAATAATGGATGAATGACATGTGTACTTAAACTAAAATTGGCTCAAAGCAGCAGAAACAAGAATTACTCTTCAATTAATATTAATCAGTTCATTACTGGGTGCATTTTCTTGACATTTGTGGGCTGTACAATTTTACTGGTGACCCTTGACCAAGGTTTGAAGACATCTGAACTAATAACTTTTGAGAGAATCTTAGGATACTTTAAAGAAAATAAGTGTATCACTTCAAAAATATTCCTTTTTGTAGCTGTCTCACAGCCAGTGATGTTCTTAAGTGAAATTCCACTTTCACAACCACTTTCTTTGTTTTTGCTACCTTGGAACTGCTGTTTCAGACTATTTCTCTTTCTTTTCATATGTAAAGTATCATTCATTTATCAGTGTTTAGGAATTATACTGACATTAAGAATAAAATAACTTTTATATTGCACTTTTATATCATGGGTTTGATACTAGCTTGATATGGCTTGTGTGTGGAATTTTTATGCTCTCCTAATGGCAAGGGAGCTGTTTCTGGTTTCCACCCACAGTGCACAGACATTTTCAGCTAATTGGCATCTCAAAATCGTGAGATGTCTAACAAAAGTATGTGAATGCACGTGTGTGTGTCCTATGATGGAATGCTGTCACATCCAGCTTTGATCCTGTCTTGAGGCCTACCTGCCTCATCCGATACTTTGGCAACTTAGTGTAACTAAAAGTTCATTCAGCCATTTCTCTAAAAGTGCCCAGAGCTTGAACCTCAAGCACCTGTCCAAGAAGCCTGTTTCAAACACCTGCAACTCTGTGTGTAATTAAATACTTCCTATTGTCTATCCTAAACTAGTTTCCAACTTTGATTCTTATTTCTCTGCTGAATGTGAAATAGTCCCTTGGCTTAACACTATTTTTGATCCTTAAGATCTTACATGTGTGAATCAAAGCTCTTAATCTCGTTTTTCTAAACCAAAGATATTTAGGTCCCTGTCTGTCTGGGTACAAACATGCCCTGAGATCAGAAATGATCTTTGATTTACACCATTCTAAGGCTTTTGAAAATGAAATCATAATATTAAAATAGTATAGTAATAGGTTCACCTTCCTTGACAAATGACTCTTCAAATTTACAGCCTGAGGGTCTAGGGATAACTAAAGGTGGTTCTTAGAGTGAAGGAGACTGCTGGGTCTTTGAGTCCACAGGTACTGAAACCGGAAACAAAAAACACCGGGTTACAGCGGGTTTAATCGGGTGTAAAGGGGAGCTAGAAGATTATCAAGCAACCTTAATGAGATTCATGTCGTCGAGGTATAATTAGAATAGTGACTGGAAAAGGAAAAGGTTGATTCAGAGCAAGAAGTTTAAATGATCTCCTCAGGAAATAAGCTTAGAAGTTACGTCAGACGATGCAAGGTGAATATAAGCTGTCTTCCATGGCAGCTCCACGCCCCGCTGACGGACGGACGGTTCGACTAGGCTCCTTGGTCTGAATTCGTTTTTTCTCCAGGTCTTTAAACACAGGCTGTGAAGGAAGAACACCATGTTGGCATCAAGAGCTCTGCTGGCGAAACAGGTAGCGGCTGTCCTCACCCGCCAGCCGGCGTGCCTGGCTCACCAAGGAGACTGGGGTAACTGGGGCAACACCAACGTCGCAGTGGTAAGTTGTAGGGGCATTGAGGGGTAAAGTGTTCTGAATGTGTGGAAGCGCAAGACATTTATTTATAGTCCCCTTGGTTATAATACCAAAGTTCCCTGGTGAAACCAACAAAAGTTTCCTACCGATAAAATGTTAAAATAAAAGTAATTGTTAAGTTTTTGGGAAAATGTAATGAAGCACAAAATGTATAGACGGAATCTGTGTTTGCAGAGTTGCAGTTAATTGAATACAACTTCGCTCCCCAAAGAGTAAACCAACCAGTGCAAACCAAGGGGAAAAAAGGCATTTGTTTCTGTTAGAAATAAATGAAAAGCTTTGTTATTTCCCCAGGATGAGTAGGGATCAATCGATAGTCAAAGCACTGTCAGGTATAAGAAGGAAAAAGTATATTTCAGTACATAAAGAAAAGATTTTACTCTGGTCGTCGATTGAGTTTCAAACGCGTTTGAAGAATCCTTCGATAGAATGTAGGCTCATGAAGATTTAAAGACGCTGATACGTAGCATGGCCGTGTGAGATAACTGCCCTTTCAATTTAAGACAAGGCAATTGGTATTCAGCTCCCATAAGAACTAGCTCCAGATTAATTTGATTTTTAAATCAGAATACATTTATTTTAAAAATATTTGGAAATTTGAGTTTGTGTCTTTCTTTGGCGTCTAAAAAGTTCAGAAAATTCAGTACCCACTTTGGAATTTTTGGTATAGTTCTCACTTTGAACGAATTGTGGCCCACAAATTTTACGCTCCTCTATGTAGAATCTAAATCTGGAAATAAGAATAGGATAAACTACGGCACATAAAATTATTATATCTAGTACTGAGTTTTAAAAAACTAATTTAGAGATTAGCATTTACTTGGGTAATTGATAAAAAGATTGTAAAGTCCTCTTTTTATGTGCAATTAAAGCTCTTGACGCGATTTTACTATTTTATAACTTTGTGTAAAGACATGCTCTAATTGTGTTAAATGTGGCCGCTTTACTGCGGGAAGATAGGAATAGGTTATTCCGCAGACCCCCGGGGAGACCCGTCTCCCTGTTCGCTAATCCTGTCATTACCTTTTAAATCGCGTTTAAATCGCCTCCAAAATACATCGCTCATCGGATTATTTTGTGGGTTGCTAGAAAGTGTCTGCCTGCAACGTACACATTTTGTATACTGTAGATAAACTAATCCATTAGTAAACACTTATTACATGTTGTTCTTCATTCTTGCAATTTAGGTGACTACGTTTTTACACCTATCTTAAAACCAGAATACATGAATGCAGCAAAATAATCCGTCTACTTTATTTTGATCTATCCCTATCCTATACTATCTCGATGATATTTTTATGTGTTGCAAATAATAGCTATTGCAACTGTGTTAATAATTTATTAATTTTTATTCTATATTGATGCAGTCCGGTCCTTGAAACCAGAGATAATTTTGGATCTTTGGTTTGGATTCACGCAACATTTAAATCGATATTTCTGTGAAATTTTAGTCCAGTTTCATCCAGAGGACCTTAACTTGATTGGATCAGTAAAAATAAAGAATACAATGAGAATTTAGACCACAGGAACACATTATATACTGAATCCATACAGTATGTATATCCAAAGTTCCCCTATCGCAATGCGTTGTAGTCGTCCCTCTGCACCTGTGTGTAGGTGGCAGAAAGTCTCTCTGACCCAGTTCCCTGTCCTCACAGGTGTTCTCTGGCTGTGGATGGTGGGATGGCACAGACGTTCATGAGGCAGCATAGTGAGTATATGAATACAAATAAGGTGTTAGGAAACTAAGGGGCAACAGCAAGTGCTTTCATTGATCGGATAATTGCACACATAACACTTTCCTGAACTGCTCAATATATTCATCTTAGGTTTATACCAGAAACAATATTTTGTAATTGCTATATTCTTCAGATGGCTAGACCTAGTGCATTCTGTAGCTGTGCTTAATGGGATCAGTATTAGAAATGCTGAAATTGTGGACCTCAAGTTTCTAAATCACAAGTGAATTAATGTTTTGTGTGAAATAAGTGGCTTGTGCCTTTCTCATCAGCATTGTTATGCTTAATTGATGTGTTCTAATTCTGTGCAGTACAGCCTTTTGTGATCCAATTGGCATGAAGATAAATAGATTAAATCAAATTTGTATTTGTATTTGTATCAGGACTGTGAGGATAGGTACTTACTCCAGATTTGCACCATAGCTTAAAAAAAATAAGGAAGGAAGAGCCCCACAGTTTTACTTCCGAAAACATTTGTCTACAGTCAGAGATGTCAGATGTCTGTGGAGCAGGAAACACGCACAAAATGATTTTTTCTGAAGTTCCAGTTGCCATAGAAGCAACAAACTCAACCTTGCCTTTGTATTTTTGGGCTGATTGCCTATAGAACAGCAAAAACACAAAGAAGTAACACAAAACCAAGGCCAGATGTGAAAAGGATGGGAGGCAGAATGCAGGATATTATTAACCATCGGCAATAGCAATTCTGGAGTAATTCATTCAATGAAGTACTTAGCATCTATTAAACTTTCTCTTGTGGCCTTGTAGCACGATGTACCATCTGAGTCGGAATGGGGCTCGGTTCCAAATGTTCGCCCCCAACCAGCAGCAGATGCACGTCATGGATCACATGAGGATGCAGCCCATGTCAGGAGAGAACAGGTACAGATATGCCAGTACTCTGCAGTTTCCTTTTCAGATTTTAACACATATTTCTGTCCAGTCTAACATATTTTAATTAGATCTGTTAATCAAATTACCTCTCTCTGGAAAAAAAATAAATTAAACTGGCTTTTAGCATATTTCCAGTTCTATATTTGTCAAAGAATTCTGATCTCTTTATTCCTATTTTCAAGTAATCACTTGCTAAATTTTTTTTTCATTAGGATAAAGATGTATGTTTTTCTGTGGCAATTTGTGCTCAATTGCTTTATACCTTATGTGGTAAAGGCTGTATTTTTCTTCACGATGGATATTTTAACCATGTTCTGCACATCCAGAACACCGTATGGGCACTCCACATACTGTATAGGTTAAAAAATGTAAACATTTTATCAATCCACTAAAATGTCTCAAACATTCAAGGCTTAGTTTTTTATTGCTGAGAACCAGGATCAAGGATTAATGATATATTAGTGTAGTGCTCTCGTGATCAGTCCTCACCTAGTATATTGGAATGTGTGTGTGGTTTCTACCACAAACACTGACTTCAAGAAGGAGCAGGCTATTCTTTTTAAAGCAGCCAGTACTCCTGAATTGTAGCCTAAAGGGGCTGAAGAGGCCATTTGTGCTGTAAAGATTTTGTGGTCTAAGCACCAAAGACAAACACTAGTGGCCATACAAAGAGGAAACTCCTGTATGCTGGATCTGTAGTCTGCACCTTTTTGCATATCCCTACTAGCCACTTAGCAGATGCAGTTGCAGTGTGAGTGGTCATGCTGCGATTGTGTTTGTTTTAATGTGTTTGTGTGTATCTTCACAGGAACATGATGATGGAAGCGGCTCGCTTTACTCATGGGAATGGGAAGATGCAGATGCATGATCTCTCCAAGCTGGATGTCAACAGCTTTGATGCCATCATCTTCCCAGGAGGCTATGGGATTACCAAGAATCTGTGAGTGTTCCAGAGCACAAAGAGATGAGGGGTGGGCATAGAGACAGGGGGAATAAGGAAGAGGAGAAGCCTGAGAAAAAGATAGTAGAAGACAGAGAGGTAAAAATAGAAAGATTGTCTCAGGGTATTTCTGTTTCCCCTAAGTCTTCTCTCCATGCAGAAAATAACAGTTGTTTCTTGGAGCTTCAGAAAAAAAGTGATTTTTTCAAAGGCCAGATCATCAGTTCTGGCGATTATTTTATTTATACCCCTTTATTTTTTAGACTAAAACAGATTAGTAAAATATTGTTAGCGGCAGTGTAAAACAGGTCCCAACGAAATTCATGCAGACAAATCTAAAAAGAAGAAGGGTAATATTTATCACATCTCAGCTGAGTCATCTTCCTCATTGGAACAGTTGATTCATGCAATGATTTTAATTTATTTAGGGGACAGGATGTGAAATCAGTTCCATCTTACTTATGTGTGCTGCAGGTCCACCTTCAGCAACGACGGAAAGGACTGCAAGATTAACAACGATGTGGAGAGGGTCCTCAAGGAGTTCCACCGATCTCGCAAGCCTATTGGGTATGTACTCATATTGTAAAAAAATACAATAGTATGATAATGGTAGTATCGCTCTTATTGCGCTAGTATGTTGTAGCATTACATGATGTTTTATTACACTGTATTACATTACACAGCAGTATACTGCTTTGTTAGCTTTCCCAGGAGGTCTCCCATCAAGGTACTGGCCAGGCTCACACCTGTTGAGCTTCAGTGGGTTGCCTGATGTGAGTTGCAGGGTGATAGCTGCTGGCTGTCATGTTTTATTAATAGAAAACACTCTGCTCTATACTGTATGGTGCTGTATGATCTAGAATTGCAGTGCACAGTGGTCTCTGACCCTCTACTGTTTTATGCTTGTCTCTATGACCCTGTGCTGTGTTGCAGCCTGTCATGCATGGCCCCTTTGCTTGCCTGCCGCGTACTGCCAAGCCTGGAGGTCACCATGGGTCACGAGAGAGACGAGAGCAGCCGCTGGGGCCGCTGGCCTCAGACCAGCATGGTGCAGGCCGTCAAGAACATGGGTGCCCGTCACAACATCCGTGAGCCTTACATATCCTTTCAGTTTCACGCAGTTCTTTCAAATCCCAGTCTCACCTGCTTGGGGCACAGAGCAGCTGGACAAAGAAACTCGATGATTAAAACACAAAACCCTATAGAGACACTGGGACAGAATGCCATTTAAATGCCTCTGGCATGCAGCTTGAGCTGTATTCGGAAGCATACTTTTGCAAGGATTTTCATATGCGTTTCTCTTTGAATGACCCTATGAACCTTGCAGCATGTTGGAATAGGGAGAGCAAGCACCATCCCAATTACAGAGAAGGTAGAAGTGCCACTGTTCTCTCTCCGTAAAGAAACTGAAGGAGTTTCTTTTAAGAGCAATTCATTTTCCCAGTTGTGAATCATTTGAAAGTACACTTTAGAATATAAAGCATGCAAGCAGAAGGGGATAGAGTATGTAAGGAAAAAGGAAAAAGACATAAGTGAGGATATTTACAGTGCTTTAAGGGAGGGCACTCACAAAACATTAAAATTATATGCATAAAATACTCATGCACCACATTTAGATTTTAGTTGAAATTTTAATTGAGCAGAAACATTCTGAACAGTTCAAATGTCTGAAATCTGTGATTTCAGGTAGACAAGCCTATGGAGAATATTTGGTAGAAAGGACTACATATTTTTTCTACAGACTTCTCTTTTCTGGAAAACAGATTAAGCTGAGTTTGTGCAGCTAATGTGTGAACAGCCATATGCTGACAGGGCTGTGCCGGAACTTCTTCTGACTCCACTCTTTTTTCACCAAGAAAAGCTCTCAATTTCACATCTGGGCTGTTGTAGCACCGCTATCCACCCTGTCAACCCATTACCCCCCGTTTTAATTTTTAAATGTACTTCCATGTAGTTTCCACTTGTGCCTTCTGGTTCACGTTTCACTGCTGATTCTGAAGAATCATATCAGTAGGGTCACTTTGTAGGAATGCAATAGGTACCAATGCCTACCATGATCCTTAACCCTGGGTGCTTCACGAGGCCTATGTGGATGAGAAGAACAAGGTGATCAGCACCCCGACTTTCATGTGGGAGACCGACTACCACTACCACTACATCTTCGATGGCATTGGCAACATGGTCAAGCACGTGCTGCGCATGTGCGCAAAGTAACACGTGTGCACGGAAAGAACAAAGAAGTGAGATAGAGGGTAAAGGAAAGAGAATCATGCCTGCAGGGGAATGTTTTGACTCTTGGCTTCTGTTTTGCACACAATAACAGCAATTCGCCTTAAGCCACCAGTCCATCTCTACGTCAGTCTTTCAGTGCGTTGGTCATCCTCCACGGCTGCATATCAGTCAGGTGTCAAAACCTTTTCTGTCAGATGATTTACTTTTCTTTTAGATTACTGTGATGTGCCCTGATTTTAGAAATGACCTAATGTGCAGTGTTAATAAACCGTGAAGAGGAAGGCAGACTCTCTTGTGGGTGTAATTATTTCTCGTGTTTTTAAATGCATTCGCCATGCACAGCACAATTTGAATGGAACTGGATAATATAAATCACCACTGAATTATTTACAGCTGTGGTTGAATGCTTCACACCTCCTTAACGTAATCTACACAGTTTTAGCTGCGTTATCCACAATGTTAATGTGATACTAAATGATCTGACTACAGCTGTCAACTTATACAAGCAAACCCTTTCTCTCCAGGGTGATAGGCATTCAAAATCCAGGCAAGGTAATTTATATGTCATCATTTTCTTAATGGGGAACCCTTTAGAGTCATGTTTTAGTTTGTGGGCAGCAAGTGTTTTTTTTTAAATACAAACATTTTGAAAAACCTGTTGACAATAACTTCTAAAACTGAATAAGAAAACATATAATAAAAAGGAAAAAGTCACAAGAAGCAGCCAGTTGCTACCATGTTAATGACTCTATTACTTATGTTCCTATAGATCCCAGCTGTTGAAGAAAGTATACATTACTGACTCGACACACAGCTTTTGTGTAAGAGATAAAAACCACTAGGTGGTAGAAGTGTGCTGCACCTAAAGTATATAAAGGGACAGAAAAATAGACCAGACCCAGTGCTCAGGAATCAGTTTTAAGTTGATTTTAAATAAAGCAAATGAAGAGAATTCTAACTGGCCAGTGCAATACCAAGTATGAAAAGGCTTTACCATTTCTTGCAGAGGTTGTTCAGTTTGTAGACCCTATTATTACATCAAAAAAATCCTTTCATATGAATATCTACATAATGATAAAAGTTGTATTAGAGGAACCACAACTCAAAAAGATAACTGGAAATCATAAAGGGGTACAAAGACATGGTAAATCACTGGAATACGAACAGTGAAAATGCAATTAATTGTGAATATTTTCTGTGCATAAACTCTCACGTGGTTAGATTCCTTGTGATTTGTGAAGTGAGGTATCTGAAGGCAAAACATACAGTAGCTGAAAAGCTTTCAAGATCTGGGCATTTTTGAGAGTTACATAAACCTTTAAGGGTCTGAGAAAATATTTCCCAAATGACTTGATCCTTGTTCTTTCAGATTAATTGAGACACGCCATTCCACAAAGTAGGCCAGAATAATATATTCGAAATGGTATACTGCATCCTGGATGTAGTCAGCTCTTATGATTCCTCTCAAAACCTTCAGGTGTGTTTCAGACTAGAGGATGCGGGAATGGATATCAGTGTTGATAATGAACACTTGTCTGTTCTATTGGGGTCTGCACTGAGCCCAGCTAGTGCCGTCCTCCATTTCTTTTTACTGTAGTCACATCCACTTCATTCTTTGAAAAAAACGTTCCTGTATTTTGGGAACTAAAGCCTTAGTTTGAATTTTTTTTATTAATTATAGTTACAGTACCTATGGCTTTACCATACATTTTAATGCAAAACACTGAGGTAGTAGAATCCAGTTACAGAAATGGTAATAGTAGTGACAACAGTGGATAATACTACTTATTCAAAATTCAATTGCTTGTATCTGAGGATTGAGAAGCACATTCTGTCCAAACAGTGTGAACTTTCACAATTTCTTAATAAAAGCACAAGAGAAAAAAAGAGATTGCTTGCTACTGTTGTATTGTTCCCCCCAATAAACAACATGTATGAACTTTTAAAAAAGTCCATTATTAGCAGAATAGTACAAGGGTTACTGTGAATGAGTTAAAAGTCAAGACAAGCAGAAAACTTTCTGTCCAGAAAACACAGTGATATACCTTTTCTGGCAACCGGTAAAGCCCTGTTTAATAACTTATACCAATTACAGTGGTTGCTATGCAGGAGTCTCTGAAATGCCAGAGCAGCAAGAGTGGCACATTTGAGAAATTATGAAGCAGAAGTGGTTGCTAGGTAACACTTAGGTGCTATTTCACAGCATTAGTCAATCAACAAGTCAATAGCAGCACAATCAACTGCAGCACAAGACTCACTTTTCAATTTGTTATGCAGACAGATTCAGACTTTTAAAATAAAACTACTAAAATCAGCTGATCCACTTTATTTTATTTCCAACAAACAGACATATAAAAAACAAAGATCAAACATTTAGAAATCAACAATTTCCCCCACTTTGTACAAAATTTGAAAAAATTACTTCACAAAAAAATCTGAATTATTAAACATATTAAAACACCAGAAAAGTTTTAAAATTAAAATTTATTTTTAAAATTCCTGGATAAACAGTTATGAAAATAACCTAAAGGTTGCTATAGAGAACTGGGGAATTTCTACAAAAAGCCATAGGTCATCTGTAGGTTATTTTCATAATGGAACCATAACTGGTCGAATTTTAATTCCGACAATCTACCAGTTATCCTTACAAAACCAGAACTTGTTTTTTTCTGTCTTTAAAAACCACATAAACAAAAATGTAAAAAAAAAACAAAGTTTGAAGAAATTTTAACATGCGAAGGAAATGGCTGTAATCCATCCAACACAGAATAAACTACAACAGAATGACACTGAAACAGCACAGTCCCGTTCACACTTGTAGACAGGGGGAACAGGGATGGGCATGTCTGAGAGCCAGCTATGGCAGTTCCCATATGGGACTTTCTCCCTTTAACTGCTGGTACTGTTTATTAACTACAAAAAAAGCTTAGAGCACTTAACTTTCCAGCTAGCATACTGCATACTGGTGTGTTTTGAATTGTGCAAATGGACTCAAATGCAAATGGGTACATATAGGCATGTTAGCCCATTCTAGCTTCACAGAGTTTAAAAAGCAACATTGCTAGACCTGTGAACTTAAATTAACATTAACTAGTCCAAGACTAACTTTGAAACCACTGGGTAGTGGCTTTAGTGTCTCCTGCTTCTTGTTTGTGAAAAATACATGTTTCTGTGAATTCCATTAAAAGACAAAAGCCCATTAAAATACAGAGTCAATAGGGGCATTTACACTAGGAAAGGACAAGAAAAGGAGTTCTGGAACATTACGCTAAATACTAACAAATACATCCCAGAATGCATCCTCTTTGTCTCATAATTGAGGTGATATTCCAGACCACAAAGATGTCTTATGGTGTACTTTGCTGGTGTAAATGCTGACTGCGGTAATTTAATCTCATCATACATTGTTGTTGTTTTTTTCTGTTAAATTTAACTTCAAAGCAGCAGTTAAAGTGGAGATTTGGACAACCAAAAAAATATTTAGGGATTTTTAGCAACAGCTAGGTCTCTAGTACATCTCTGGAAGGAAGTCCCAGAAAACTGCAGGCCTAAAATGATTTAGCTTTAGCTAATAAATATGGTCACCTCCATCAAGAAAAGCTGGCATTGTGTACAAAGCTTGTATTTAGTAGTTGTTATACACCAAAGGTAGGGACCCAAATTGACTGTTTTTGATTAGTATTGCATCAATGACTGTCTGGTTCATGTTTTCTTTTTATAGGCAGCAGGATTTGCTGTAAAATTGAGGAGTCTTCACACGGTGAACTCATCCCCCTCACATATACCAAATGGAATAGTCCTGGGTTTTGCGAAGGTCACCGCCAGCTTACCCAGTGAGAGGAGCACACAGAATCTGGGCTCTCAAAACAAGTAGAACAAAGAACCTTTGTCTTCTTCTATTGTTACTTTAAAACTGAAAGCATTGAGGCTGCACCACATCAAGAAGCACAGCCATCAGTGCAACACAGAACCATCAATCCACAGGACATGTGCAAAGGAGCGAAAGGCAATGAACACGGTTTTTAAAACTGAAATGGGCAACTCAAAGGAAAAAGTTTCAATACTTCTATACAAATGAATACCTGCGGTTTTATATCCCATGAGACACTTGCAAGATACTGTGTTCTCAGTCAGAGATCTGAATGCTTTCTAAATATGAAAAATGTTTCTAGAGACCTTCAACCATTCTCTCAAGAGACATCAGCACAACACTTTGCATTGCTTCTGTTTTAGCAAGCAGTGAGGGCCATTCCAGAAGTTTCTCGAGGGCACTCAGTCACTGACAAAGCAGGCCAAAGTGCAAGCAATTCTTTCAGAGTTTACTGATGTCCTGATTGCAGTCCTTGAGACAGCCATAGTTGAAATAAATGAGAACACCATGTATTAAGCTGACAGGTTCAGGTCAAAGACCAATGCAGTTTTTGTCAAAACTAAATAAAAAGTTTGCTTTACTGACTTCTTATTTTATAGAAAAGCCATGTGGTTTGCTTCGTATCAGGGTTTAAGTAGGTCAGACATGAAACTGTTGCCCCTGTCTCAGATCTAAAGAATGCTTTCAAGGATTTCTGATAGTTTCTTTAAAAAAAATAATTTTGTTTAGACCACTGATAACCTGACCAACACCAATAACATCCCATAAAGCTTTGTGAACAGAATCAAACATTAGCGAGTCCTTATAAAAGTTTCCTGTGGTACAGTATAATATGATAGAGTACATTAAAGTTTAGTGAAATATGGTGAAAGAACAAAAAACACAATACAATGGAAAGCCATGCATAAAATAAGCATGGGTAAAAAACAAGATACAATAGTAAAATTCAGTGCAATTGTACCGTAGTAAACTTTTATAAGAAGTGTACATTGTTTCATCTGGAAGCTTGTGCAGGTCAGGTGCACAGTTTTCCACTTAGTGTGCAGAAGTCAGGCAAAAGCAGAGAAACAACACAAATTATCATGAGACAGTGCTGCAGATGCTACAGACTGTAGCACAGGAAGAATCTGGAGAACAAACTGAGCTGTACTCTGCCTCCTGTGTCCTGCATACTCTAACAGGCTTTCATTTCTTTCCAAGAATTTTAATGGTTTTGGTTCTCAATAACATATAAAACACTCCTGGAGACGTTTGATGCCAAACATATGTAGATACAGCAGGATTCCTTTGTCAGAGAAAAAGAAACAAAGGATTCCTGAAGGAGACCTACAGAATATTCAACAGAAAATGTAGGGATTTTGGTCCATCTAGACTCTCAAAAGTTTTTTTCTGTGAGGTTTCCCAATTTTATCCACAACTGAAAACTAAAATTAAACAATTTTTCAGGCTTCCCTTCCCAAACTTGAGGGAATTCTGCCTATCCTTCTAGAATAACTTGTTAGACATGATGTCAGAAGTGCTTTCAAACAGAGCTCACAGGTAACCAGAGGTAGGCACCAGAACCAGCTACAGATTCTCTCACTATTAAATATCTTCTGAAAAATCCCAATAGAAACATCATCATGAGAAGAGTTTATTTTTTAATAAATTAAGTTTCTCTCTTACATATACTGCAGTAGTATTTCAAAAACAGAAGCATACTAACCATAGAAAAATATAGCAAACACAATCATCTGCATTAGTGATTTTTCTTTCTTTTGAGACAATCTTTTAAAGATATATAGATGTATATATCTGTAGAGTTATATTGAGGTTCAAATCAGTACCTTATTTTCTTTATAGAAGAACCAGTCCATAAAACATACCCATGATATCTTTTAAAAATATATAGGGGATCATATATAAGTTCTATAGGATTTTTCAACCACACTTCTTGAACCTTACGGATCACATTTTTAAATTCTTAAAATAGTATACCATATTATGTAACAGTAATCTGAACTTCACTCATAAATTCTAAGTTGTAAAAAGGTGATTAAAAGATTAAGGCTCTCTAATGTCTTAGAAGGATACCACTTACAGAAAAATATTCTCTTAATGCTGCCTATGCACTGAACTTCAAGACAATAGATGCTTCAGAATCCATTTTCTCATTTACGTTTGGTAACTGCTTTAATACATTGACTACATGTTTTGGTTTTTGAATGTTTTCAGTTTTTTTTTACATTAGGAAATTTGATTCTCTTGGCTTTTTGGTCTATTCCAATTTTGCCAGCAAGTTTCTTTAAAAAAAACAAACACCCGCAGACAAAATAAAAGTCAGCATTTTCAATATGTGAGTGTTATATCTGCTTACGCAAATCTACACTAGACTAGATAGTAACTGGAGTATCTAGCAGCTGGTTTTGGCATAAACACAAGAGCCTGCATCTGAAACAAAACTGGAATGGCTCAGACTGCCAAGGGAAGAAAGTCCAATTTCCATCCATGCACTTTTGAATTTTTGCTTTTAAGCTTTGCTTTTTAACTCAGGAATTTCATTAATTTAATTTTCCTATAGCTCATCTGTATCTCAGTAAACACCACTCCATTACGATTATAGAAACAAAGGAGCATGCACCAATTTGCTTAGAAAATATAAAAATGATCATTGGATTATTCAATTTTCTTAAACGTTATATATAAAATTTATGAGTAAATTTCAGTCTTCAAAAACATCCACAGTATCAACAATGACATAACAATAGGTTAACAAATTTGTCTATATACCATCTAGAAAAAATAACAGCACAAGGAAATGGAGATGATATCCAGTAACCAAAACAGATTACTGGTCATAGACAGCGATATGGCTTTTGACCTCATTAAAGCTCTTCTACATACAATGGCAAAGATCAAGACCATTTCAGTCTTAGTTTTTTCTGTTGTTTAAGGTGCTTCTACACCACCGATTGATCAAGATACATCTGTAGTATAGACATTAATTGATTTATAGAGCTACATTTGAAACAAAGAGCTACCGGATACATACTGTATAGCACAGTAGCCAGTATATCAGTCTTCACGTTGTGCTGGAAGACAAATGGCAAAATATTTTGGCTCCAGATGCATCTCTTTTCTTAGTGTCTAGTGTTCAGGGAGCAGCAAGAAAGATCAGGTAAGACACAACTGGGTGTGAAATCCCATGAGAGGGGTGCCTGATTTCACCCAGATTTATTGGTTTCACCTCCTTATTGAACACTGCAGCATCTGAGAACTGGTCCCAGATTATATTTATTTTTTAACGCACAACTGGAAGAAAACATGGTCAATCAAACAGGACACAGGACACTTAGTGTTCATCAGTAGTGCTGCACATCATCTCAATGTTGTGAAGCACATTGAGACCCACAGAAAAGCTGAATTAAAGACAAAAAGCACTACAGATTATGTACCAGCTGGGTACAAACACAAAGATAATTTTCTGAAATGTCTTCTCCAGGGCTTTGAAGGAGCATTAGTGGTATTATATTCTCTTACTTCTGAAAATCACACATGCAGAGGGTGTGTGTGTGTGAATAAGAACACTGTTTTATAATAACAGACAATGTTTCCTTGAGTGGGTAGTAGTGCAAACTTATATTATGTACAGTATAACACGATTGCAGAAACTCTTCATAATGCAGAAGTAAAAGACTGCTGCCTTTCAGATAGATTAAATTAGGTATGGATCCCCGATCTAAGTGCAAGTCTTCTTGGTCCATCTATGCTGATACAGAATGATCTTTGTCAGGTAGGTTACAGTTCAGTCAGTCTGGATAGAACCAGCCATTCAGTTCTCAACAATGAACTGCAGTAGTTGGGGACAAACCATCCATAAAAAAAACAATGAATCTGTAAAAATATGCCAAAGGAAACACACAGGATAGCAGTTCTACTGTCATGTAGGGATACCCAAGTGCTCTAATAGCATATACACTGTGCCTCTTAATTTTTTGTGGAAGCTGTCTGTGCTGTTTGGTTTGGTAAATCACAGAAATAAACTTCTACTTTTAATATGATTTGTTTCTCTACTTTGGACACTACTCTATGCCAAGCTTGCTGTTCTTTCCTGTGGTTTAAAATTTGCAATCCTGGTGTTTTGTTACACTAATTATATGTTTATGACTAAAAACAAAATAATATCTTTATGATCCCACCTTAATTAATATTTACTGTGAAAAATCATGGGATTATCACAGTCTATTATGGTAAACATTAATGATTAAAATCTTGGATAGCACAGTAAAATAGTAGGAAAATACAGTATATGGCAGGGAAGTTAAATCAGCATAAACCATAAAGAAGGGTCACAGTAAACACCCATGGCAAACTTTGACAAGGGAATTGGCTAGGACATGGATAAAAAATAGATATGAAGTGCAAGAAGCCCAAGAATGCAAAGCCAAAACTCTGCCTTCAAATGTTTCTTGCTATTTGGTCCAAAATGTAGCCTGCTTCTGCCCCACATAGTGAGAGCTGTCCATTTGGTACCTCTGATGTTGAATAATGTCCAGCCACATACAAGTCTGCAGTCATTTGACCAATTAGCAGAGGGGTCACGAATCGGCTGGTCTCCATGTTGCAGGCTCTTTAACAAAAGCAGACAGAGTTTTACTGTTGTATCCACAAAATGTGTACTCTTGATAACTGTTATGCCATTCTAATTAATTAAAATATTTATATCATATTGGACTATACAGTGGTAGACTTTAATATATAGGAGGTACATTTCAAGAAAATGAACAGCTGTTAAAAGAAACCATGAAAGCTATTGTTTAGTCTGAAACTGATAAAGAGACATACAGTATCTGCAAGGTCAGACTATAGGAGGTTGTAGCGTGAAAAACAGCCACACAGACAGCTAAGCAGCCAGTAAGAAGCTAGGTGAGTGCAGGTTGCCTGTGTTTAAGACATTTAGACAGTCCAAAGAGAGACCAACAACCAGACAGGCACACTGACCTTGTGAGGGGCACTCAGAGAAGGGCAGTGTCTGTGTCAGGAGGGGCAGGGTCATGCTGGGCAGCCTCTTGTGCCTGACGGAACTCTTGGAACTCTCTGCGCAAGGCATTGAAGCGCTCCTCACTGAGAGAGCCACATGGCATCCGAGACTGGGAGTCACTGGGGGACACAGAGGACAGAAGGCCTGGAAGAGAGAGACAGGGGTGAAAAGGTTGGAGATTGTGGAGATGCAAGTAGAGAATGAAAAGGAATAACCAATATTTAGGACGAAAAACTAAAATCATCTGTGGGTGGACAATCAAATACGGTCTGACAAAGAAAGCTGGTCTCACCCTTGTTCTGCAGTTCTCTCAGGGCAATGGTTGAGCGGGGTCGCTCTCTCCTCCTATCCCTCTCTCGCGATCCACCCTCCACTGTGCTGTACAACCTCAGGGCCTCCAAAATCTCAGACTCTATGCAGAAATCGCCTGTGTCCCACTCATAACTCTCATCTACTGAGGTGTTCCTCCTGGTGATGGATAAACAGAACGAACCTGGGTCAAAATGTGAAAAGTTCGGACTGCACCCAGGTACTGTGGAGCTGCTACTAGGGATATAGCTGCCGGAATTGTAAAAATAAACCCACTTTTTAAAATTTGTTCATCATCATGAGACAAAATGGCATGCGAACTATGTCTGAGTAGCTTGCTACAAATAATACAATACCTTTGATCAGATGTTTTAATTTAAATGCCTATACACTGGAATGCTTGATACTCACCTTTCTTTTTTCCTCACATTTTTATAAAACAGGTCAAGGAGCTCAAATAGCAAAGGGCTTCAAGGGTTAAGGTAAAAGGATCACCAGCTATAGGTATTCATTTCAGATCACTGTCTCATTCTATGTTAACCACAGATTAACATAGATTAATAGATATGAGATTGTGTTGTATCTGATTTAAATCAAAGAATAACATATATAGCACTTCAGTTATTTGTTCTTAAACTAGAGGGCTGTATTCTTAGGCTGCTGTAGTTTTACATTTCAAATATTAATTAAAACAGAACAAATAAAAGGCACAGAAACAAAAGTCTTGAAGAAACACAACAGATGTACATTGTGGACCTGTGATATATTTTCTTAACAGGACCCATGGACTTAAAGCCAAAAAGTTAGCTCTCCCTCACCTTTTTGTAGGTCTCTTTTCCTGAAGCTCTAGCATAGTTCTTTCTAGTTCAGCCCCCTGCCGTTCACTTTCTTCAGTGGTTTCAGGAGAACCAGGGAGAGAGGGGGTGAGGGACAGAGACTGACGGAGTAGTGAGGAGGGGCCAACACTTCCTCTCCCACTGCTCTGGCTAGCATAGCTAGCCCTGGCTTCCTTCACATCCCGGAAATCCTTCATCTCCGTGTCTGTTTCCCCCTCTCCCTCATGTTCTCGGGCTGTCTTTCCTTTTGGCTCAATGGAAACATGGTAAGGTGAAGGCCAACTATAACCCCTCGGTAAGAAGGCCCTTGCAGATCCTCGTCTGGAGTCCAGAGGCTGTAGGAAATCTCCTCTCGCCATTCCAGGTCCGGGTGGAATTACCTGTGCTACACGGAATGATTCAGAAAGGGATGATTTTGGTTGCACAGGGCCTGGAACATGTTGGTAGTCACTAGGCCACCTGGACATTTCAGGAAAAGTTACAGCCTGCCTTTGTAGTTCTGAAGATTGTCGTTCTGAAGATTGCTTATGCCTTTGCAAATCCATCCCTGGAGGTAAATACCTAGGTCTGTGAGGTAAAGCGGTCTCTGTGGTTCTAAGAGTCTCCCAGCTGGCCTTGTTTTGAGGTCTGAATGCAGGTGGTCCTTTTAGGAAAACTCCGCGTCTTGAGGAAAAAGGAGCAGGAGCACGGCCTAGACTATAAGACTTAATTCGGATATCTGGGGCTGGTAATTCATCTCGCAGACACCTTTCAGACACATAATTTCTTGGGCATGGGCTCTCATAACTTTCCCATTTTTGTGACCCTAAACTGACAGACTTCTTCAGAAATGTACTGGATTTTTCAGCCTGAGGTACAGTCCTATTTAGACCACTACTCATGGACTTTTTCAGAAAGGGTGTAGGGGTTTGACAGAATCGGGAAACAATGTTGTTAGTCCTACTGACCTGGCTTTTTTGGGTGAAATCATGCCTTTGTTGTTCCAAAACATGCTCCTGTTGTTCTGCTATAACATTTGCTTGCATGTTTGACTTTGTAGCAGTTGAGTCCTTTTTGGTTAGTGACTCATGGGTTGCATTCGGGCTTAGAATTCGTCCAGCCTCTAAGTCAAAATCCGTCTTCTCATTCAGTGAATACTCAACATTTTGATCACAGTGAGGTCTTGCATTTTTATGATGAGTCTGTTTAACTTCATATTCAGACCTGGGAGAGTGTTCAAAAGTGTCCTCAAGACTTCTCTCTGAAGCTGTCCAATATTCACCTGAAGTTGCTGCCTTTGAAGTGGACTTCCTGGTCTCCAGCTCAGTGGAAAAACATTCAGTCTTCTGGGTCTCACAAGGATCCACATTCCCATGAGAACTATGGTTATCAACAAATGTATCTTCCAAAATACCTGTACATTTCTGACTAGTGTCTGTCTCTGTGCTTTTTTGTACATGAGGTTCAGAGTCCTTTGGATCTAAATTGGGTTCAGCCTTAAGGAAGTCACCATGCTTCCAATCAGCACTAGTCTCCAATAAATCTGTGATTTCTGTTACCTCTCCGGGTTCATCTACACTCATTTCAATGAACCCTGGGAGGCTCAAATACTCTAGAATTGCACTTGTCTGAAGTGGGGATGCTCTAGACTTTTGTGAGTTACACAAAGCAGTTGGGGAAGAGGGTGGCTTTAATGTAGGTTTCAGGAAACCAGACATTTTGCTAACAGATAGATCAGAATGATCACTGTTGGTGTCATTTTCTATAAGAGGTATAGCAGATGCATTACTGGGACTGTCACTGAAAAGGTATTTATCACTCTTTCTGGAACGTGCCCTAATCCCCTCCTTCTCAAAGTCTGGAGATAACAGAGTAGTATTATTAGGAGGCTCATCACTAGTCTCTTTAGTCTCCCTTTTGTCATTTGTGTTCTCTCTTGCCATATCCCTCTTCCTGCCATGCTCATATGGGAGGGTGCAACCAGTGAACAGACTCTCAGGCTTTCCATCATCCTCTTCAGATTCCCCTTTTTCTGAAGGACAGCGGAGCGTAGCTTCAGGAGAGCGTGTGAAAGCATCTGGATACGTTTCCCTCTCCGTTTCAGTCTCCAAATCAATCCCAAGAATGCAGCTGTAGTGTTCAATCTGCTCTTCCCTCTCTGCCTTGGATATCAGGGTGGGACTTGAAGTAAATGTCAACCCCTCTAAATCTCTTGTGCTCTCCCTTGCACCCTTTGCAAGAATTGTCTCTTCAGCCAGAGCATCATGTTGCTGATGCTTCCAGTCCTCCTCAAGCAAAGACTGACTTTGACACCTCTTCACCTCTGCCTCTTTGTCTCCCCTTTCCAATCTCTCGGGGTACCTTGATTTAGCCTCTCTGACATCCATGGAAATGTGAGGGAAAGTGTCAGATGTTGGGGAGAGGAGGGAGAGAGAGGTGCACTCAGTGACAGGAGACCCCGTGCACTCAAAGCCTGCTGAGGCACCAGAGTCACGGACAGCTGTCCTGTTCATAGGAGTCATGGGGGTGGGGGTGGTATTCTCTGCTGGGCTCTGAGCTGGAACCAGGCTGGTGACAGAAGTGACAGGACTGATGTCCCAGTGGATAAAGGAGGATGGAGAGGAAATCTGACCTAATGGGCTACTTGTATTACCAAAATAGCAACCTCTTCGGAAGCCAGAATCCTTGTGGGACTGCCCCATTGCCAGCTTGCTTTTTGGCCTAAATGTGACCTCCTGCGGTTTCCATACTGGCTCGGTCTCCCCATCTTTTGTCTCCCACTCTGTGTCTCTCCCTCCTGCTCTCAAGCTGCTCTGATTCACAGCCCTGCTATCACTTCTTCCTTCTCTCTCCTGCACCCGGTGGCTCACTGTATACTGTTTTAGCTCTCTCTCAATCTCTTCCCTCTCTTTTGCTAGTTTTAGACACTTGCTCAGACTATCAATCCCTTTCTCATGTTCCATTTGAGACACTTGTCTTTCCCTGTCTATGGGGAGATAGCTAGAAAGCTTGTACCTTTCCTTCTCTGCCTTTTTATCTTTTTTTACTGTTTCCAAGTTTAGGATTTCTTCTCTTGACTGAGATTGGGCAGTACGAATACACATCCTGTACTTTTTTAAAGAATCTCTGCTCCGTTTTTCCAAATTGTCTGAATAAAAGCTACTGTGTTCTCCCTGCATCTCCCCATCCACCTCGCTACACAGCTCCTCCCCCTCCTCATCAGTATAGAAACAGCCACTTTTAGAAAAGTTTTTGGCCATCAATTTCACTCTTCCAGGAGAGCTGTTGGGGCTACGGGAACGTGGGATGTTCACAGTGAGAGTCAGCTCCTTCTTCTCATCCATCTCTGAGCAAAGTGAGTTGGATTTTGGGGAGCCACCAGGTCCGGGGACCCCAATGCATTGTGGGAAGTCCTTCCTCAGGCTCTTCTTGACTTGAAAAGTGGCACTGGTCTCCTCGTAGGGCTGCACAATGAACCGCCCATCAGGACCACGTGAGATCGACTCCAGGGCAGCAGTAGGGGAAGACAACCCCCCTATGTGGCTCTCAAACAGTGTGTAGCGGGGGGGTGGAGCTGCATTGGATAGCAGCTGCGTCCGCTGGTCCTGGTATTCACTCCGGCTGGCCTTCTCAAAGGAGGAGTGGTCAGAGGAGGAAGAGGAGTGGCTGAAGAGAAGGGGACACAGTTTCAGCTTCAAGACGCTGTCGGGGCTGTCAGCAAGCGAGCCAGCTCTGAAAAGAAAAAGGTAGAGGGGGAAAGAAGAAGAGAGAGACAAGGAATGTCAGAATTGAGTGATTTGGGGGTAGACAGAGGAATGACAAGGCGTGCAGAGAAATGGTAATGAGAATTAAAGAAGCAGAAGTATGGGTGATGGAGAGAATGGGAAGGAAGATGGTCAGAGAGACAGGAAATCAGGTGACACTGGATATTAAATTAATGTCTAAAATATCTTTGGGAAACATATTACCTAAGAGCTGTAAAACAGTATAACAGAATGACAAAAGTTTGCATGATACAAAAAGATATTTTAGCTGACTGGTCATCATCTCATCCAAACATTCAAAAAAAAGTCAGAGGTGTTTTGGCCTCATCAGTACTTATTTATAGTCACTGCAACTTACCTACAAATATAAATTCTAAACCTTTTAAGTCTACAAGTAAAATCTTGTTGACATTTCAACTTGCAAAAACACCTAATAGGCTTGATGGAAACACCCTCACCCTCTGAAACGTTTTATTCCCTTTACTTATGTCCCTACGTCTTATAAACAAGGAAGTGAGTGTAGGTGGATTCTTATGCATTATGTCTGCTCTAACACTACTGCCCAGAGGTGATGTATAATAAGCCAAGTTCTCTCCCAACCACCATCTGACACACTGGAACCCATTTACAGCCCCAAACATTACTAATTGCATCCTATATGAAAATGTTGACTTAACCACCACCAATAATCTCAATCATTAATTAATTATCACCTGGTTGTGTTTGTTTACAAACCACAGAGGCTTCAGTGGCAGGCTGACTGTAGTCTCTAGTCTCCTCAAAGACCAGCTTGCCTCAAGGACTTTTAGAAACTCACTGGTATATTTCTAAATCACTAGAAATGTTCGAGGACGTGAAAGAGTAAATAAAAGAGCTGTATAATGATTAGTAAGGAGGTAGCCAAAAGACTTAAAGGAAATTTGCTATGCTATACAATTTTTGAGAAAGTTTACTATGGAATTACAAACATCATTTACATATGTGATACACAATGTATACTTAATGGAAATGGTATTTATAAGAGCATATAGTGAGGAATAACAAAAGAAAAAGCTCCTTTTAAACAGCCCCTTTTCCTTGTCCAGTACTTGATCATACAGTCTGCCCACCACAACACTTTCTAACAATTTCCAGTAATGGCATATCTTTTTTTTTAGCTCAGTCTTTTAAAATAACATGGATGTCTTATGAACTGTAAAGAAATGTAACGTTCAATGCTTCTCCCACACTGGGAGCACATGATTTGTAAAGTTTTATAAGATATTAATTACTAGATGGATCTTTAAGAATTGGCCCATTGGAGATTTCATAATGTTCGACACACAACACAGAACGTACTAGCCTTCAGACATATTCGTGTTTGCTCACGGGTCTGAAGGAAATGCAGAAGGTTGATCTTATCAGACAGTTAATCCAACAAACTGCACCAGACTGCACAAGGTGAACCAGGTTTTATTGCTATAGGTGAAAAGACTGGTTTGTAATAGATCATATTATTTTATCCTTGGGTTCTGGCCCTGGATACTGGGGCAGTTTATAGCTCAAGAGAAAACAAAACAATTACAAAAGTGACATGGAATGAGAGATGAAGGAGGGAGGGCACTTACTGTGGAGACTGGCCCTTCTGGAAGGCGATTGGGATATCTGAAAAGGTCATGAGGGGGCAGAGGTCACACCATGGTCAAATAAAAAAATGAGATGTACAAACACACTGAAAACAAGTAAGCAAGAGAAGCTGTCATGTCCATAGAGTTCACAAAAATAACTCCAGACTGACACATACACCAAGAATTGGAGCAAGACAAGAAGGTAAATCCTTGTATGTAAAGGAACAACTAATGGTTTATTCCATGCAGAAAAGAGAAGAAAATAAAACATTTCGGCTGTGGAGCCTTCTTCGGATGTATGACATTTCAAACTCAGATTGTAGAATCCATTTATAAAAGCACAACAGTGGAGAGGCTGCTATAATTTTGTACAAATCAATTATTAGTTACAACTCAAACTTAACCTTTGCAGGACAAGACCAAAATGGGTCTTCAGATGCCAAGCGAAAATAACAAATCTTTAAGAATGAATTCTTAAAGAACTACCTTCTACAAAATCATTTCTTCTCTTTTCAGCATGGAATAAACCTTTACATGTTCCTTTGCAGCCTACACATGCTGACATAGTTACCTACTTGAATCCTTGTATGCAACAGCATTCTATCTCTTAGCAGACTCTAAGGTTGAAACACTTTTGGTGAAAAAAAACAAGTCTAGTTGTGCCTGTCTAAAAAATGCCCAAGGAAATGTTGACTACTGCAACCAATCCAATCCGCATTTTCTGGTGAAGGATTCTGAGCAACTCCAGTAAGTAAAATACACAAAATAATGTTATTACACACACTCCCTCCTCTCCCAAATATTTTATTATTATTAAAAGCAATATTTTGGAGAAGAGCAATGATGAAATCTGAGAAGGCTGTGGATTGTAGGTGTGGGGAAGAAATAATATATTCATGTCTGTTTTAGCTTATTCACTGTGATTTATCTGAACCTCTCTACATCAACAAGCAATGTGAGCAATTAGCTGCAATGTGCCACACCTTGTCCTATCAACTCTAACAGCTGTAACATTAATTTCTTAATCCACACCAGATGTACCCTTGTCCAGTGGTGAACATTCAAAAGGAACACTTGTGTTTTTACCTTCCCTTCTTTTCCTGCGGCGTCTCTCTCGCCGCCGGTTCATGGCACACGCTGTCACCAAAGATAGGATGATAGCAACGCACAGGAAGCACACCCCTCCTATCACACCAGCCACTAGCGGCTCAGGAAGGAGCTCCGAAAGGCGAGTCCTGGCAGGGTACATGTCCATTCCTGAAATGATATTACTGTGTGGTACAAACAATGCACAACTGCTGCTGTTTTTGTCAGAAGAGCAATATAGAACATTCTGGAACTATGGCCTCCCATTCTGCTCAGAACACTGGAACACTGTACGTCATGCACTGTATGCTGCTTAGGTCTGTCCCTGCAAGATGCAAAGATCTACCGGATACTTGTTTTTTTCCATGTATTTGTTCCATTTTGTACTTGTCAATATTGCTGTTTAACGGTACATACAGTATAGTAGTTGTGCCATATCTGATCCTACAGTTACCATCAACCCCTATAAGTCTAACAGAAAAAGTATTTTAAAAAATTTGGAACTTGTCAAACAATGTGTACCTTACCAATATGTGGCAGAACAAGATGAAGATTTGTGCTTTAGCCACATTTCAGAGAAGGATGTGAAGAATGACCTGCAGCCCTTTTTTACGTGATATGGCATTACGCGGGGCATGTTCAGTGTGGAGATGGAGCCCTGGATGAAGGGTGACGCGTTGCCTTTGTAGCCACAGCTGTAATGGCTGATTAAGGACGAGCTGTAAGGGCTCTTTAAAAACACACTTAACACCCCCCTGAAGGGATGAGCAAGGTGACCCCCGGAAGAGGAGGAACTTCCACCGGCGGTCCCAGAGGGGATTATGCCTGAGCTAAGGCTGCCGTTGTTTTTGCATTTTGATTTTCTTTTTCTTTTTTCGCCTGTCCCATCATGCATCTCTACCGGGGCAGGCTGACCCTTTTCGCATGTTGAGTCTTTATTTAGTTTTGGCCTTGTGTTCCCTGCTCTTCCATACTGGACCCTATTAAATTGGGTAAGTCTAGTCTGGTCACCACTGTGCTAAGCGGTTCTTCTTCCAGAATGGTCTTACCCTATATAATGGTGTCCAGCCTGGATGCCGTGGCACACAACAGCGCTTTTTCATTTTTCCCTTTTGTTCTTGTTTTTCCCCTTTTTTAGTGTTATTTTCATTTTTCGCTGACCTCACACTAGCCTCCGTCCCTGGGTGTCGACTTTTACCGATGCTCGCTGCGACTTCTCCCACTCCCACATTCTCACACTCACCAGCCAAGGAAAGATAACTGGTCAAGTGACGTTTTAAAAACCCAAGAAGCAAAAACTTCATCTGCTGTCAGACAGAGGGCAGATCCACTGGAGTGGAGTAGGAGAAGGAGCCAAAGGACTAAGAGAGAGAATATGCGAGAGCTGGAGGATTGAGAGTGGGACTGTGATTTGGAAAAGGAGAAGAGTGCTAATACTGGTAAGCAGCACAGCCGCCTGACTTTGGTTATTAAGGCACTCATATGGTGTTCTGAATGGAGCTTGGGTTTTTGTTGCATTTTCCATTACATTTTAACAATTATTTTCTCTGTAACTAAACTCACCCCTTTTAGCACATCATTATGAAAGAACGCTTCATGGACACCAGAGGACAGAGCCCAGATTTGAGGCCAAAAGCCAAATGTCATCAGTAGTTATGGATCTCAGCTGTTGTTCTTTTTTCTTTTTAGGATGAAGATACTGTATTTCAGAACAGGTCCCCACAGTTCTGTAGTTATATTTCCAATGCATTTATACCACTTGATTTCTAGAGGTCCATGGTATCTTTCCCTGTTTATATCAACATTTCCATACACATTAAACCCTCTAATGCACAGTATTGTGAAAATGTTTGGATGAAAATTAAGACTGACTTTAATAAATGAAAATCACTTTAGCCCACTGAAGGACACCAACCTGCAGTAGAGATGTTGACTGATTCGCTGGGCTCACTGATCATCTGACCATCCCGAGACAGCATTCTCAGCTCATAGTTGCAATCCTGAATTGGGAAGACAAACGTGGTCATATGTCAACTGGGTCCCCACTTAGGTATATACTAGTTCACCGTTCCGATGGGACACACTGAATGTGGTGTGCTGTTTTGCTCACTGAATATATCTCATTTTGTTGGTGCCTTACACCCGTGTAGAACAGGGATGTGGCAGAGATAAACAGAAGGAGTGGTATCTGCCCCGTCTCATTCTGATTCAAGTAATGATACATCTTCCTACCACTTCCTGGAAATACTGGAAATTCACAAAAGTAAACTCCCCCACATACAAATTGTTGTAAATGTAGTATGTTTTCCCTAGCAGACTTTAAAAGAATCTTTATTCATGAAAAGGAAAAAGGAAAAAATCCTGTGACAGCAGCACCCACTGATACAACCTACAAGCACATATGCTGTAGGACTTATAGAGTTTTTTCAATGTAGATGCATCCAAAGGCTGTGAAATAAGGTGTTTTGTGCTCAGGACATCTACAATACTTTCATTCTTTTGATTCTTTCCTTTTTGGAAAATAATAATCTACTGTATGTTTGAATACAATTATTGCTCACTCCTCAGCTATTGTATAGCACTGTATCCCAAATTCATGGTGAAAACATTTTACACTTACATATCTAAGCAATTTGAAAATGATTTTTACCTTAAGTAATCCCTGCACCAGTATCTCACTCTGATTGGCTTCAATGAAGCCCTCCAGTACCACCCACTCCCCTTTCTCACGTCGGGACTGCAGTATGAAGCCAGTGACGGTTGTTGACTCTGCGAGAGGTGGCAACCACTGCAAGACCACACCCTTTGAGCTCTGATTGGCTGACAGAGACCTGGGTGGGGTCAGGAGGGGTGGCGATTTCACAGTTGGGGGTGGTTTTGTTTTAGGAACTGAGACAAAGGGGCAAAGATGCACAGAGGGAAAGGAAATATAAGAAACAAAGACAAAGAAGAGAGAGGGAAAGAAATGTTTAAAAAATTAAAACAGAGATATACCCTGCTATTTTATAATCATCCAATATCATGACAATGTATCAGCCTTTATATCATTTTACACGTCATTCTCATCCATCATGGCAACCAGCACCTTGGACATATTATGCCAAAATAAACTGTCTCCTTTGCAGAAAACTAGTCTTCATCCGGGAAAGAAGAGCAACTTCAAACTTCAAGAGTTATTGCTAGACTACCAATGGGTCATCCTTAAGCACAAATAAAGTCAGACAATTTGTCCCGAAAACATCTATGCTTTATTAAAATACCTTTTTTTTTCTTATTTGTGAATGTCTCTGCCACTAAAGGGAATGTCTGGGAAAAAACTCTATGTGAAATAATTTAACTTGGGAGTATTAATACAAAAAGGTACTCATGCAATTAATTAAGAATTCTAAAAACTAATTGCCCTGGGTATGCTGTGGTACTGACCCAGTGTGGAAGCTGTGATAATCTCACTGAAGGGGCCTGAGCCCAGCTTGTTCTGGGGCAGGATGCTGAACTGGTACCCAGTCCCTGGGAGTAGCCCTGTCACCAATAGGTAAGACTGGGATGGGGGAACTGGAAGAGATGTCCATTCATGTTTTCCCCTGGACACCTGCTTCACCCTGTAGGAAAGGGAATTTCCCAAGATTGAGGTGGTTGGAAAACGGCAGATGGGGACAAAGACAAAATTAGAGAAAAAAGGATAGACAGAGTTTAATGTTTAACAATTTCAAACTGCAGCCTTGTAACTACACAGGCAAAGAGACAGGTGGGAAAAAGAGGCAGAGAGGTATACTAACAAGGAGCAAAACACCCAAGACAAAATGAACAGAAATCTGAGGCAGGTAAACTAACAACAAGATATACAAGACATAAATTGAGCATATAGGTGAGACAGCCAGTCAGAGCAACCAGAGAGATTTACAGATACACTGATAGTTGGGTGTTCAGACTGACCAGACAGTGAATTTCTGTGAGTATCCCCCATCAAACCCAGGTTCCCAGGACACATTCATTCTGTTGGTTCCTGGAACCAGAGTCACTGCAGAAACTGCATGAGGACTTGTGCCTGAGAAAGAAAGACGGAAACAAACAGTGTGAGAGACGAAGAGTGAGAAATGCAAAGGGGGAGGGGCTGCTCTTATTTCTGTGTTAAAATAATACATAAGATCTTGAAGTAAAAAATGGTTGGATGAAACACCTGGGCTGGTAGCCAATGGCTCCATGACAGGTTTGGGTCTGAAAAGCACTGACTTCTGGCCTTTTCACACTGTCATACCCAAACCCAGCCGAGCCTTCATGTAACAGCTGAACCAAGCCAGAACCATGAGACACCAGTTTCACAAGCTGTCTGTTTGGCTCAGGGCTGGGAGCAAGACTAGCATGTCAATCTGTCATGGAATCCTACAGTTGAAGAAAAGAGCCATTTTGACTCTCTTTTTGACTTAATAATGCAAGTATGGAAATGTCTAAAAAGAGACATTTCAAGGATAAGGGATTTGCAGCAACAGAAAAACAAACACAATAGTTCAAAATGACATCAAGTAATTTTTCACAGTGTTCTATATTACTTTTTAAATAAAATATATCTGCTTTTATTTAGGAGTTCAAAGATCAAGGTATATTTTACCAGAGTAAGAGATGATGCTGATTATTTACTCTGGATCCACTAACACCTGATCTTTTCACCTGATATAGTTTTGGTAATAAAATCTAAACATGGTGGCATTAAAACATAAAAATAAAGTTTAATTTTATCGGTCAAACACAATTATTGTCTAATAATTTAGGTTTATGGATGAATTGCCACAATGATAAGAAGGGGACTTCAGCTTGAAGACTATGTATTTTCCTTAATACTTTAACAGTGCACAAAGTGATTGCTCATTAATGAGAGTTGCCCTTGGTGCTTCATGTTAAATACTAATTAAAGGTATCACACTATGAAACGGTTCATTCTTCTGGTTATATACTTCACAATCCATGTGGCAATATTGTGTGAATACAGTGTAGTAATATACATAGAGCAATAGAGTATTACAGTGAAGTTAAAACAGTTTTTAGAACAAGAGTCTATGTGACGAATGCGGCCCTCTGACTATGACTCCACTGCCAGCAGTTGGATCACCCTTTAGTTCACAGCTGGCAACTGAACCTAAGCAGGTGTGGGCCTGGTCAGTACCTGGATGGGAGACCTCCTGGGAAAAACTAAGGTAACTGCTGGAAGCGGTGTGTGTGGGTCCTGATGCCCCAGTATAGTGACAGGGACACTATACTGTAAAAAAGTTTATATCATTTGGATGAGATGTAAAACAGAGGTCCTGACTCTCTGTGGTCATTAAAAATCTCAGGGTGTTTCTTGAAAATGACTAGGGGTGTCACCCCGGCATCCTGGCTACATTTTCCATTGCCATCAATCATGGCCTCCTAATAATCCCAGTGTATGAACTGGCTTCATCACTCTGTTCTCCCTCTAACTGATAGTTGGTGTGTGGTGAGAGGACTGGCGCACTATAGCCATCACATCATCCAGGTGGGGCCTGCACATTGGTGGTGGTGGAGTGGAGCCCCCATTACCTGTAACGTGCTTTGGGAGGAGTGTCCAGAAAAGCACCATATAACTGTAAGCTATTATTATAAAAAGCAACATATTTTCGAAGCACTATAATTTAGGAATTAAACCTATTTTTTGCTGAAATGGGTGTGCCTCAAGAGCGTGTCTGCGCTTCAACGTGTCACCCACCCAGCACGGAGACGGCGGTGCGTGTGGAGACCGCGGCCACACGATTGCGGGCACTGCACTCCCATGTCCCCTGGTGGTCCTTACTGAGTGGGCGCATGATCAGGGAGCCATTCTGGGCCGTGCGGAAGGGAGAGCGAGGGGCAGAGCCCACCTGGTGAGAGACAGGGAGAGGAGAAGGAGAGAGCAATGATGAGGGGAAAGGTGGGAAGTGGGAAGAGAAGCACATGCACAGGGATGGAGTGGGTGAAGTTTACAGTGAGATGCATAGTTCTCTCTTTTGTATGAAATAAAATGATATTGAATAAAGCAATTATCTCTTTCATATTAAAATGCCCAATGTTTTAGGTTGTGTTCAGAGAGAACTGAACTCCACACTCATGGAAAGAAGCTCTACCTACTGTGAGCCAGCTCACAGGTACACTGGTACACCAGAGGTCCCTGGAGAACTCTGTGGACCAGCCGGAGTAAACTGCCCATAACCTCCAAGAGTTAAAACAGGCTGCATGTGGGAAGTGACCCGAACAAAGGGTGAAAACCTACAGCCACTCTGCCCTCCAGAAAACATATCTAAATATCATAAATGTCAACTTATGTAACGAAAGGCTACTTAATGGGAAATCCAAGATTGCTGAGCTTGTTGGTGTTTTGAATCTCCTGACTGATCTGGAGAGAATATCTTGCCTTTTTTTTTTTAGAAGCTAAAAACCTCTCTCGCCAAACAATGAAGAAACAGACTACTGTTTTGAAACAACACCCGAGTGGTCCTTATTGCTATGTACAGCACTTGCCAACCCACTCAATCTCAAAACAGCTCACTGGAGGGATAAAAGAAATTGCATTAGTAGGGAAGTTGATTCGATCTCAATTTATTCTATCCACACCAGGGGAGAATCTGCTATAAGAAAGTACATATCTCCTGCCTGTCCCTAACAGTGTGGCAGTGATTGACAGCTCTGACCTTGCTCCAGGTGATGTTAGGGGATGGGTCACCATGGGCTTCACAGGGAATAACAAGGTCCCGGCCCACCTCTTGAAGGTACTCCGCCCGGGGGGTCACCCGGAATGAGGGAGGGTCCTGAAATGAGGATCAGAAAAGGATGGGCGTGTAGCATTCTTGCACATGTGCACTATAGTGCAGCTATGCTAAAGAATATACTAAAGTTTTTTCAGAGAATGCTTGAGCTGTTTCTTTTGCATTTATAAAGACTTGGACACCTATGGAATTTAATAAGATACAGTAATCCCTCATTATAGTGCTTCACCTGTTCCTCAAAAACTTCTCATAAGGTGAAAACTTGTACAACAGAAATTACACTTCTATTACTTCTTGTGTTATAATTTCAGATTGATTCCAGAATTCAAAAATATCCCCTCAAAAACCCAAACTTCACCTTATTATAGCACAGAATGGTACCTAAGAAAGAAAACAATAACATTCCCGGTTAATTATTTGACTAACGTGCTTCATTAACTCATGCATAAATGATAGATAGGAAAACAATCACACTCCTGCTTATTAATGGTACAGTACAGTAGCTACATCATTACAGTTGTTAGCAAATTAATAAACATTAGGGTCTATCCTGTACTACACGCACTTATACTCAAACCTTTATTACTTCATTAACTTTTTTGTAAGAAGTAATAATGTAATAAGTAAATTCCTCATCTGTGAAGATGAGAGAAAAGAAGGTTATGCTTTATAAGCTCATAAGAGTAAAAATTGGCTCATTAAAAGAAAAAAACAGGCAGAAATTGCTACAACTTGTATAATGAAAACTCGTAAAGCAGTTGCTCATATAGCAAGGGAGGACAGTACACAGTATAAACTGATATCACAAACAAATGATTCTATTTGTGATTCTGTTTCTTCTGGCGGCAAAAGGAAACAAAAAAGCAGTCAAAACATTCAGTGACAACAGATGGTTTCACTCTGATTGGGGCCCATCAGTGCAGAGCAGCCAAGTCTGGACTATGTTCATGTTGTGGTTTTGTCTTTCATTCCAGCTGGCTGTTCCAGTCATTTTGGAGGACACAGGACTAAAGATTGTACTTCGGCCTAACAGCAGGGCACACGCTTAGAAACAGTCACAGGTGTTAATATCAATGTTTTGTACTCTTTTAAAAAGCAAGTTCTTAAGAGTGCATTTGTCAAAGGAAGTGTGTTTCCATCTTGTCAGTGCTGGGATCCAGACCTTTTGATGAGGCAGCAAGTTTGCTTAAAAAACAGCCGGTGTTTGAATCTCTACTGGGACCTGTCTTTGTTCCAGAGCAATTCCTTATCATTGTCAGGGATGTAAGGAGTCACAGTGCAGTCCAGTGAATGTTTGAGATTAATTTGTGACAAAAATGTCAATTTTCAGAGAACACTTGAAAAAGACACACCACAAGGTGTATCTCCCACAATGTCCCAAATTACAACAGTATTACAGCAAGGTCAAAGTCCAGTTATGGTCACCCTATGTTATTACCATGAATGGGGATTCATATCTGACCATTCCACTAATGGCCTATAGGATGCTGATAACATTATTTCTTCCTTTCAGGTATTTCTGAAATGTCACGAACAAATGCAGGTGTCTGTTTAAAATTCACTCAAGCCACGTCAGGAGTTATGAACTCAGGCCACAGTCAGATTTCTACATCATTATTAGTTATTATTATTACTATTACTTTGATTATTTTCACTGTTATCATTATTGGAATTATTGCATATCACTGCCATTGTTAGCATCTTCATTCTGATTATTCAGGTGCAGCTGTACCTGTGTATGCAGGCTGGAGGAGTGACAGCAAGACTGGGATTCAGAATAGTGACTCTGAGCCAGCAACACAGTGCCAGCCTTGTGTACTGCAGTCGGGCCAGAGTTCTGTGTCATACCTGTAGGACCACCTTGGTGGGGGAAGACTGGCCCATGGTGCCGTAGCTGTTGTAGGCTGTACATGTGTACATCCCCACTGCATCATCGTTGGCTGCTGTGATGAAGACCGAGCCCTCCGAATTCACCATCCACCCTGGAAACTGTGAGGATGGGAAAGGGAAGGAGTTGGAGAGAGAGTATTTGGGGAGTAGATGGTGATAGAAAAGAAGAATGCAGGAGGAGAGGTGAAGGAGAGAAGATTATGAGAGAAAGGAAAATGGAGAGACGGGGATATTATGAAAAAAGGAGGGGGTGGTAGTGCTGTTAGTGACGTTATACAGTAAACTGGTAGTCCAAAGTGGTAACCTGAAAAGTGTCATTTCAGTCTGAGATATTTGCATCTGTCCAAAACTATGAAATAAAAGAAAATCATTATTATTGATGACGGTATTATGAAAATACTACAAAATCTGTAAACAACTGAAGAAGGGAGAAGTGTGCAATGACTTTTTTTTCTTTCTTTGGGAGATCGTAAGAAAATCTGTGATTTCCTTGTGACACGCACCATGTCCAGGTTGAGGAGGTGGCCATCTTTGGTCCAGTTGACAAAGAGCATGGGTGGCTCAGCCCGGACAGGGCAGGTGATCACTCCTTCCATACCCACCGGGAGGTAGGTCTCCTCGGGCATGGGCAGTACCTGTGCTGGGTCTGAAAGTGGAGGAAGGCAGGAAGAAGGGAAAGGGAAAAAAGAGGGACCAAGGAGAAGAGAAAAAAGGGGGAAAAAAGTTATAAGAGAAGGTGAAAAGGGTGAGAAGTGCAGCGACAAAGACATACCAAAAGAAAGAGACAAAAATAAACTGAAAAGACACAGACAGACACGTACAAACAGGTACAGGAAGCTTCATACTGCCCAGACACACACACACAAATCCAACGGCCAAGCTCAGACACAGTGATGGCGACACATACTGTACAGTACCATAACAGACCGACAGACAGAAAGCTTGACTCTTACGTTTCACAGTGAGGTAGGCAGAGGCAGTGGGTGGGGTCAGAAGGCCATTGGTTGGCACACAGGTGTAGTTTCCAGCATCATCGGGCGTGACAGACTGGATCAGCAGAGTCCCATCAACCAGCACCTTGACCCTGGTCTTGAGCAAGCTGCAAGAAAACAAGCACGACACATGCTGCATGAGAACACATCAGACACTGTCTTGCTGGGAACGACGCACTGTCGAATACAGTCTCACATGTTCTATGCCACATAAAGGTTTCTTATTTAACACATTTTACACAATTATATTGCAATTTCGAAAAGTCTAGGACCAATATAATGAATTAACAAAAACAGAAAACAACAGAATATTCATATTTCCTATAAATCAAAAGTCTGCTTGCTCTTAAGCACCTTAACTTGGAATAATCTTTAAGCATATATCGAGAAGTTGCAAATGAGAAGAAGCTGCTCAGACCATCCAGCTCATTTGCTTTCTAATAGCTATTTGACCTGAGGATCTTATCTAGCTGCCTCATTAAATCCATCAGGGTGCTGGCTTCAGCAGCTTGGCTTGGGTAGCTTGTTCCATACTCCCAGCACCCTTTGTGTGAAAAAGGTGCTACCTGTTCTCATTTCTAGAAGCACTTTTCACACTTGTGTCTTCTTGTTTGTGTTTCAGTGTTGGTTTTAAATACTTTAATAAGCTCCTGTCACAGTCTTCGCCTTCTTTTAAACCCAAAAATATATCTGGTTGCCCTTCAGGTTTCTTACAGAGTAGCAACATCTTTTGTAGATGCGTAAAATGGGTTAAGATTTTTAGCTATTTATTGTAATGTTAACTTAACACTGCTCTCTAGAGACAAAAATGATATGTTAATAGCTACCCATTTTCTGACCTGTGAATAGCATTCTGCACTTGTCTACATTAAATACCATACACCAGGTGTTTACCCAGTCTTGAACTGTATCTCTTTAAACACTTTTTAGGTTCTCTTTTAGTATCATCTGCAAACAAGATGACATTATTGACCGCATATCCATAATACAGACTGACTGCTTCTGGATCTCAAAATTTGCTTCAATTTAAAACAAAAATAATCCATTGCCTCTCAGGCTGGAGAAGAATACTAAAGCATTGATTGATGGTGTTAATTCTACTCACTCACAGATAGCAAGTTATAGTGTTCCACTGCTGATTTACTGACATTAAAACTGCTAGCCAAATTTAATTTTGGCCAATACAACATAATATGACTTTGAGCCAACTTTGAGCCTGCCATTCTTAGCCTTAAGTTGGTTACAACAGTTGCACAATTAAAATGACTATGATGTACAGTTTATGACAATGGACCAATACTGGACCAGCCATTGAAAGCTAAGATTTGAAGCAGAGTGCTAAAGAAAAAGAGTGTGGAGAGGGAAGATGAAATTATTACAAGACAAAATGATAATCTCAATAACTGCTAGAGCTGTGTACTCTGTGTCTACTCACTCAATATGGAATACATTTTCTCCCTGCTTCCACCAAAGATATGTAAGATTTGATGGATAGGCTTCAGCTTGGCAGCGCAAGACTGCATCCTGGGACATGTTGAGGGTGGTGTCCTCTGGGGGAATGACAATAACCGGAGGTCCTGTAACACAGAGAGGGAAAGGTGAGAGGTCATCACCATAGCAAATCACAGGAACATAGTCCAGACAGTTAGATTCAAGTCCCAAGTAAAAAGAAAGTGTACTTTAACCATGCTTAGAAAATATGAATTCCTTTTATCAGCAGTGCTCAGTGATGTCTCAGCTGGAGCAGTCAGCAGTTGTTTTCTCAATCAAGAAATACAAATCACAACAAATCTATTGCAGAAATATCAACCTACCATCTTATTAAAAGAAATCTATAACTAACATTTTGATTTGTGACTTAAATTAACAACTAATTATTACAATTTTAAACTGTTTATCCACATTTGGAAGACTAGTTTGTAAGTCACCTTACACACCTCTCTTAAACCACAGTCTGAAGTATAAAAACTGACATATGGGCCATAAATAAAGCTTATGCTTGTAACAAAAGTTGGAACTAGTACAGTAAACAAAAATGAAAAACTGCAGCAAACTGAACTCCACAGTTCCTGGCCTGCTCTGTCACCACTAGAGGGCAGCTTTTACCATGTGATCCACACTAAGAAGCATAACTATTCTCACAATATGCCAATATGAATCAGATACACTACTCTGCCATATTAAAACAAAAATAGTTGTGAGTGGAATTGTCTGGTTTCTTACCAGACAACACTTGCAAGTTTTTAGTTTAAATGTCAATCTTCTGCATGAGCAACTACATCTTGTGTGGCACAATGACAAACTAAACCAATTATTTCAGGTGTGTAGCTGCGTCGGCATGCTTAGTCTGCAAAGGAACGAGTAATAGGTTTATTCCATGCAGAAAAGAGAAGAGAGAGGCTTCACAGCCGAAACATTGTGTTTTCTCTTTTCAGGATGGAATAAACCTATTACTTGTTCCTTTGTAAACCAATTCTTGCTTTTTGAACTGCATACACAATAGCTTTATACTGAGTGTGCTCATTTTAATAGGATAGGGTCTGTGTATATTGATATCTGGTTATGTACAATTGTCCTTCAGGTCAAAGTAGAATGAGTGGGTCAATGTAGAATTAGTGTTTTTCAATTTTTGGTAAATTGACCATGACTTTCCATGTGGAACTCCCTGGTTAAATCTCTAGAGACTTTTCAGAGTTCTCTTTTTTTCCCATAGTTTTAACAATCATTTGCTTTGCTGTTGTTTGCCCATGTTGCTCTATGCTTTACCATACTTATACACTTTACTGGAGGGTCACCACAGCAGCAAGCAAGATTGGTGAGTTGGTGGCCGACAGTATTAAACTATGTGTTTTTACGGCAAAGGTACCAATAGTGCTGAAATGCACACAATACATAATTTATATATAGAACATAATACAGAAGCACGCTGACCTTTGACCAGCAGCTGAGAGGAGTGAGTGAGATTCCCCTCTTCATTGGAAACGTGACATTTATAAATCCCTGCTTTGTCTCTGCTGACTGAGAATAGGGACAGACTTCCATTGGTGACCTGTGGGGAAAAAAAAGATCGAGAAATTATTTTACTTGAGAAACATAGAGTAAGGGCAGGCAAGAGAAAGAGGAGAAGAGAGAGGGAGATCAATGACCGAGAGAGAAAAGGAGAAGGTAAGGACATGATACTGGGAAAGGGAACAGATAAATCTAAATTTAAGCAGGTAAATCAACTGAGAACAAACTCACATTTACATGGCAACCTAGAGAGTTACCCTATACAGTAGCAAGTTTTATTAGAGAGTGCAATAAGGTGCTGAAGGGTACAAAAATAGAAGTGTACACCTAAGGATTTGAACCCACAACCTTCCTGGTTAAAACCAGAGCATTATCCATGACTCCACAATGTTGACCAAACTGCAGGAGAGGACAGATGGAGTGAGAATAAATGTGAAACAGACACGGTCCAAGGGAAAGAGAAGGGACATCCATTAATGTTGCCCTGCTCAGTATCTGACGCATAGTCATACACTCTACCAAACCACCATCTCCAGACTCCTGCTTTCACCCGCCTACCCTCTCATTCTCCTCAAAATCTTTCCGCCTCTAAATATTTCTACTTCAATGAAAACCAACAGAAACACAGAGGAGAGGCTGAAAAAAGCTGGTTTGACAAGACATAAGGTACAGCTCAAGATGATCACAATGCATTGTCCCATTGCCTTTTATTTTAAGTGGTGAGTGTGTAAAAACAAAGAAAGTTATTCACACTGAGCCTGAATGTTCATTGTTCTCTGTAGAAGATTTGATAAAAATCAAGTTGTGCAGCACAGCAAGATTGGTATGCTGCTACCTTTTAGAAGGCAGTCAGTGAAAGCACTAAATCTCCCTTAGCCCTCATATTTCACTGCTGTGTTTCTTTAAATAGATCCTGTCATCTATGTCAGAAATGCTTCACCTGTGGACTTTGTAGTTCACTATATTGCAAAATGTGTGGTTTAATAATACACCTTAAGCATTAATGATAGGCCTTTCCTGAATTTGAGTATTGACAGTGCTGAGCTGCTTTGAACAATCTCTGTGAACTACAATAAAATCGATGGGGAAAAATGAAAATAAATTTAATTCGATTGGCTTTATTCAACAGGACTCATCTCCTAAGTGACTAATCTTATGGATAATACGATTAAAATAATAATTACAGAGCTGGTAGAATTTAAGTCTTTTTTAATAAAAATAAAAGAAAGAGTATGTATTGGGTAGCACAGCTCTAACCCTTATTTTGCTTTGTGAGGTCCTGTAGGATTTCAGCACAGTCCGCTTAAATGAAGAGGAGGAGGATCCTGGCTATTCCATAAGGATATTCACTCACCTGCGCATTATCTCCATTTTCAATCAAGGTGTCGTCCTTTCTCCAGGTAATGATTGGTGGAGGGTTGCCATGGGCACCACAGGTCAGGATCAGTGGCTCTCCTTCCAGGACTTCAAGGATAGGGGGTGGAGTCTTAAAAAATACAGGTGGGGCTAAAAGAGAAGAACCGATCAGATGATTAAGGGCAAAGAATCACACACAATACAATTACTCCAGAGATGTTTATTTCCTAATAAATTCCATTTGCTAATAAAGGACACAGGGTCAATGTGTCATTTATTAGTAATGAATCAGCTATGATGGATGGAAGATTAGAATGTTTTTAATTAATTCTGACATTACTGCCCATGTCCTTTGAAAAAAAAAATCTTCCAATCTTTTAACTCTGAAAAGAATATTATGAACATTTTTTCCTAAATCCAGAGAGACCCATTTATGAAACAGGTAACACTTACAATGAGGGTTACAATGATGATACAGCTGCAGTCCACGTAAACCCACAGTAACCTGACCCAGGTGTACAGTACCTCACTATTAATCTTGCGGCTGTTGCCTTTTTCATAACCACTTACAAAGAATAGGGGATGAACTATGGCATCAAAAACTGCTGATTCATAACAGGGCACTGGTTTTTACAACACAGAACCTTGTCTTTTTTGCTTTGATATTTTAAAAAGAAACAAAAGCACCAACTGTAATTGTATTTTGTTTATATCGACACTATTTGGAATGTCCAGCTATGTGTTTTTCACATCTCAACTGACAAATACTAACCCTGCTACCGCACGTTGGACAGAACATGGAATCACAGAGCCCAGTTGGCCATCCCTGACCCATTCGTCTTATAAGACATCACAGGTGTCACAGCCCCGTAGGTTCAGAGCCAATTGTATCGCAGGAGGCCACGGGAGTTGCTATGTTTGCCAAGAACTCTGGCTATTTCTCCTCCCTTTTTGACACTCGAGCCAATTGTGAGCCACCACTTGGGGAATCCCAGTCACAGCTGGATAGTGACATGACCCAGGCTTATACCTGCATAGACCTTTCAACCTGAGTTCAACCTGAGCTCAGTGAGAGAGCCCCCTTTCTGGCTGAGCCTCTCAAGAGGCCCCCCCCAAATTCCATACCTTCAGGTACCCAGCGTACACAATAGGTGGCTCTAGGCCACTTCAAACAGGCAGACTCTGCACAATTACTCACTGGAGATGTTTTATTTTCTTACTCTGCTTGATTGCAAAGAATAAAAGACTGTAACTCGATACCCTCCTATGGTGAGTCCTGCTTGGGTGTGACAGAACTAGAACTTCATATGCACAAGCATGTTTGTGAGGGCTGTGCTTCAACCTAGTGGGATTTGGTTGCAATCAGGGTGAAGCTAATATGCAGGAACAGGACTCTCAAGTGTGTTGTTGCTGGTGAGGGAAGGCTCTGATGTTGCAGGAGAGGATATTTGCCTGGGAACCGATGCATCAAATTAAACAGGCAGGGAGGAAGTCACATGGGACCATAAACACTGTGCTACTAGCAACAAGATAGCTAGACCAGCTCCAGTCTCCAATCAGCTGTTACTGCTACAGTGTAACTACTAAAAAGCAAGTATCAAGGTCATAAGTTATCCCAAGATTTATCCCACAAAACAACAAACCTGTTATTTATTTTATTTCTATAGTGCACATCCTGATGTTTTCTACAGTAAACTGCTGCAAGCTACATTCTGTGACAGTTTTTATTTAGGCAACATTGTGTAGTTTGACTTGTATTTTTGATATGACAACATGAGTTGAGTTGCTAAGGCTGCTTTACCAGTTCAGGGATTCAGGGATTTAGGCATACTAATTATCCAAACTACTTCATTTAATCTACCTGCTCAGGGGGAGAGTGGATGTCAGTGGAAGACCCAAAAGGGGCATACAGTATGTCACACCTACAATCCCAATCCTGGCACACACAGTGTCGATGGGAGTATCCCGGTTACCGCACCTGTGATGGAGAGGAAGGTCCAGGTACCGTTCTGAAACTCATCCGTCTGCCTGTCCAGCAGGAGGATGCGGCACTCAAACCAGCCCTCATCGTCCAGTTGCAACCCGTCGATGCGCAGAGAGGCACCCCGCTCGAGAGAGACCCGCCCTGTGCACACCAGAGCAGACAGAGACCTTTAGGATAGACATTGCTGCGACACACAGAAGGTCACCTCTAGAACACATGAATAGGCATGTAGAACACACAGCTAAAGGGAAGACTCAGGAAATAAAAACTTGCAAAGCTGACTGTGGCAGAAAGGCAGATCTGATACACCCTATGAACCACCCACATCAGCTAGAGCTTCTCTACATCCAAGACTCCTCCTTTCCCTCTCACACCTTTGGTCTGAATGCTGGTTAGCTGGCAATCCTAATTCCCACATCAGATAAAGAGACTCAGCCTTCAACTCCCTTCCCTTCTTGGAAACCTGATTCTTTTTAAAAGACAAGCACCTGTCTGTCCAAATCCATCCAGGCTTTAACTCTCTCTTCCTGGGGTCTGTTCCTTAGATACGAGCAAGGTTTTAATTATTTTAATGCTACACAGCTTTTCAGCCTCATGCACTTTATATTGCTCCTGTGTAGTGTTTGTATAGCAGGGGCTTTAAACCAACACAGACTTCAAAAAGCAGGAGGGCGTAATGCCCTAAAATTGCCATTGAATGCGAAATGTATGTTCAATTACTGACAGGAGAGGCAATTTACACAGAACAACTTTGCATCCAGGAATTGTTCTGGTCAATCTTCTTCAGATGCAACATAATCTCTGTTTACCAGGGAACCCTGCAAAGCAGAACTACAACAAAGCTTTATGTGAGTATTTGTTGAAAGCCAGGCCAGGGTGTGCACCACACACCACACATCCAAGAGCCAGAACAACTGCTCTTTTTTTTCTAAACCCAACCACAACCCCCCTTTTAAGGACTGTTATTTATCTCTTTAAAATGCTCTCTTTTTTCCCCATCAAAACATAAAGAGAATACAGAAATAATAAACAAAAGTACAATAGTTAATAGTAAGCGATTTCTTTCTCTTTTAAATACTTGAAGTATAATGAGTATACAAAAAAAGATACACAAAAGGACAATAGCTGGTCATATGAACAATTAAGCGATTTTTCTCTCTCTCTTTTAGGAGACCAAAAATTGTAAGGAGTATACAATTGCTCTTCACTCCATGTCCTGTCAATGCAACAATTTAAGGCACAAGCTTTGTGTGCTAGCAACACCATAAATGTTTGCAAGTTTTTCTTTCCTTCTCACAACATAAATATCAAAGAATGTTCTCTTAATTTCATTCTTTCATATACATGACAGCTTTCAAAGGTAAGTTGCATTTCAATGGTACTTAACTAGAAACACATACACTCTCAAACCCCTGCCCCCATCCCCGATTTCCCTCCCTTCATTCATGGAACTTGTGTGGCTTTGAAACTTGATCTCCTGGTTGCCTAGCAACTGCTGCATGGACTCCAGAATACAGCATTACCCTCCCTCTCCAATGAAGTTTTTTTAAAAAATGCCAGGGTTTCAGTAGATAGGGAGACGCATTTTATGAATAATGCTAAAAAGAAAAAACTGTTGCCCAAGGATTAGCTTTGAAGGAGGAGATATTGGTGTGCCACTGCGGCTTCAAGCCACACATTATTTTCACAAACTCCGCAGGGTTAACGAGACTACTTAAGAAGTAACTTTTAGAAGATATTATGAATTTAGTTTTCATGTTTATTTTTGAATACAGTTCTCTTTATTATAAACTGAACTTTTTATACAAAGCTTATTATAATGTATACTTTAACAATGTAGTGAAACATGCTGTAACTTTTGAAAGGTTCTACTTCACTGCTGACCAACATATTAACAAGATACTGTATAACCAGTAACACTTGAAGAGTGTGCTGTCCATTTTTAACGATTTATGGTATTGCACTTGAAAGTGACAAAGCTCTTAAAATCTGGAGTCAGTTTCCAAGGCAAATGATCAGCAAAAAAAAAAGAAGACAACTTTTACTGACATCAGGTGTTAAAATTTACAAAGGAACAAAAACACATGCATACCCTCTTATTTCAAATCTCTGTAATGGAGAACAGCCTGTAACAGCCTTTTGTAGTTGAGGAGAATTACAACGGCTCCAAAGCTACTTTTTTGTGTTCCAGAGTTTTTATGAATAAATTAAAAACAAACAAGCAGAACAGCTCATTAGACACATGCAGTATTACACTGGCTGGCTGGTAGTGTTGATTTTTAAAGCCCAGTGAAGCCACTGCCAATTGGCCAGGGACTGTGCTCTCTTTTCATCTCCCCTGATGGATACTTAACCCTTTATTGAACTTCTCTTACTCCAGCCAAAACCCAACTCCCTCCCCAGATGATACCATGGCGATGACATCAGGAATTTCCACCATTGGGCATTTTGAAATTCAAATTTAGTTGCCATAGAGATGCAATAGAACAAGAGGAGGGTGTTGATGTATGTGTGTGAGTTTTGGTTTGAAAAATTTAAAAAAAAAGATTTGTTTTGATTTAAATTTGGAGAAGCAGCCTGTGACAGACGGAGAGAGACAGACGCTTTCATTTGAAATGGTCAAACAATGACCCTGACCTAGAGAGAGGGACATAAATTTGTTTGCATTTAAATTAAGCTCCTGTTTTATCACACACCTCCTTTGGCATATATTTGTGCAAAAGAACAAAGCAACAATACATTTGTAGAACAAATGATACTACAGTAGCACCTGTTGCAAAAAATATATAATTTTATTTTATTCAGGATATTTGTCCCCGACCTGCAAAATAAATCACACCACAGATTGTTCACTTGTATGGCAGAAAATTCACATTTTATCATAGCAGGCCAACAAATATAAAAAATGATACAAAAGGTGTTTCTTATATAGCATTGGACAGGCAAGTAATTCCTTACATTCATACAGCACTTTTCATCCCAAAAGATCCCACAGCTCTTTACCAATAAGTGGGGACCCATTTCAACACTAAGGTGCAGCACCCACTTAGGTGAATGTGTGGCAGTAGCCCCACTACATAACAGACTAGGATAAGAAGTGAGAAATTGCTTCATAAGCTGAAGAAAGCTAGGTTCGATTGTGCACGCACAGAGCAGAATATAGTCAGGATACTGGGGTAATTCTTCAGAACAGTGTCTTGGGATCTTTAAGGACTAAGTAGTAAGGATCTCAGTTTATGCCACCTCATACAGAACAGTGTACTTTGTAAGTATAATAGGACACAGTTTTAGAAATTCTGGTCTGGTTGTAAGAGTTCCTGGAAACTCATGTGTTTGCAATGCCCGACTTCTGGTTTCTGTTCAGCTCCGATAGTCAGTTGGCCTATTTAATTGGATAAGTTGTCAAATGATTATTTTTTTAAGGTCTGATGCTGTTACTACTTGAAGAACAGCTGTGAAATCGGCAGAACCCTTGCCCTCAAGGGCTAGAGATGCACATCTTGGTCTTTGAGTCACTTGCTCATCACTGGTTTAATCATTCAAAATAAATTTCAGCACTGATTGAAGACGTCTAAGACAGGAAGGACAGAGACTCTCCAGGACCTGGATGGAGAACACAAATGACAAGAGAATAGAAGGCATGTGGAGCAGACAGATGCATCTCAGGGACAGGAATCATGCTAATATTATATAATCAGCTCAATACATATGTTCGTCAGCCAGATGGTGATGAATGATTATACTTCACACGTGCAATGATTAGGTCATCAGCACAACTGTGTGCATAGTTTCATTTTGCTTTTCATTGAAGCAATCCATCTTTCATCGTTCTGTTTAGCCAAGAGCTTCTGCTGCTAGTCACAGTAGGCCATGTAGTTATCAAGCTCTCCATTGATTAGGCAATTATGGTTTTGAATGACAGAGTAGTATGAAACAAGAGGCTATGCACTTGGGACATTTAAAGAGTCTCTATGGGGTTCTTGGATTGTTGAGCTCCTGAAAACAGCATAAATCACGCAGCTTCCTCTCTTCTGAAACCCTTCTTATATTATGATCCAATGCAGAGCTGGCCAAGTTTGGCTGCAGAGATTCAGAATGCCTTCAGATTTTGATGTCACCCAAGTTCATTTTTTAATTAAGCGAAGCATTTACTGTGACTAATTGGGGAGAATGACCTCTTGCCCCAGGTAACATAGCCATGACTAATTTGGACAGACTTCTAAATCATGCAGGATTGTATGCTCTCCAGTACCAGGCCACATAGGGGCTCATACATTTGAAGGCTAAGTAGTCCAGAGGATAAGATAAAAGTCTTATTACCAGGAGTTTCCAGGTTCAGGCTCTTTGTCTGACACTGCCATGCTGCACATCTCCATAAGAAAAGGTTACTGAACTTCCTTGTGTTCTGTTCCTTGGATAAGGCATGGAACTGAGGTCCCTTTGGCAATGACTACAATAACAGCTGTTAATGCCATAGTTCACCACTTAGTCTCTGCAACTCTCTTTAGGGAAGAAACGGTCTTCAAAAGGATTATGCAGTACTGCCAACTGCTGTGTTGGGGGGTTTACAGTATGTGAATGTTTTAGGGGCCACACAATATTTCTCATCTTAATGTAGACTATTGTTCCTTAAGGGAATATTTAAAAACATATTAGTTACTTATAAAAATGTCAGGATTTTCCCCCTTCTTTTAAACCATCTTGGGCTATTTATCTTGCAGCAGTGGCGTGTGATCCTCTGGCTGGTGTCTGTGAGTCTCAGCGAGAGTCAGATTGCTCGCAGTGGGTGGCAACCCTGCAGATACAGAGCTAAGTGGTGCTGCTCGCTGCCAGGAGCTGTTGTGGTTTTGGGAAGCTGTGTTTAGTCTTTAAACCTGGCCTGCGGCAATCCGGTATGAGGAAGCATTTTCAAATTAATTGCAGTTTTACTTCATTCCAAACTGCAGCACTGCTAGACACTATCAATAGAGATACTCTTGGTGTCTTTAATGTTGCATTGAAATATTACAATAATCATGTTCAATGAGACATACTTTTTTTCTTTCTTTAAGACATCTGCAAGCAGTATAAGACACACTAGAGTTCTACTACAGTAGACAGCTCTAGACTTGCACTAGACCTAAATAGACTGGTGGTATTTT